GCCCGGAGCAGTGGCAGCTCCCAACAGCAGTGCTCCCCAGGGCACGCCCACCTCTGTGTGCCCACAGGGCAGTGCTCTGCCCCGGCCCCTCAGACCCGTTTTCCCTCCTCTCCCCTCTCACAGCAAACACGGCGGCCCCGTGGGCGGCCCTTGTGCGCCTCCAGCTCCCTCTGCCGCCTCCCCCCGGCCCCGCTGCCCGTGAGTCCGAGTGACCGAGAGAGAGAGACAATCTGCCCGGCGCGGGCGCGGCTGGGTCTTCTGAGCCTGTTGTGACTGAGAATCCAGTCCTGGGGCTGGGGAAGCGGCCGGGGCCGGAGCATCGGGCCCGGCATCAGCAGGGCAGCCCAGAGGTCCTGCATCGCTGGGCTTGGAGTGTTGCCACACCCCGACACTGGGCCGGGAATCACCCCTGCCCCCAGTTCCACTGGGCAGGCCCCTATTTAAAAAAGTGAACAGAATCCAGGTAGATTTCAGTCCTGAAATGCGTTTTTAAAATGAGTTTTTAAATGCGTGTATTTCTTTGTTGGTGTTTCCATATCGTTCATGCATTACTGTCCTGACTGAGAAACCTGAGTCCTCGGTGAGGTGACTTGTGCCTCTCTGCGTGTCGTCTCAGGGATAGGGGGACCCCGCGGGGTCCTTCTGCCTGCACCCCCCCCCCCCTTCCTGGGAGGTTTGCTCTGTCTCTAGACTGCTCGCCCCCTGCCCATGACTGCTCAGCCTCCCGGGGGGATGCGAGCGGGTTCTCTGTGCCCACTACGTGGCCGGTCTCTGCAGCCCCCTCTGTCCGCGCTGACCCGTGTCCAGTCTGGGAAACTGCCCTGGGGCGTGTTCCCCGCCTTCTCCCTCGTGGCCCTCCCACTTGCTGCCTTCCCGGGGCTCCCCTGTCCGCTCTGTCATGCCGTGTCCCCACCCACCCCGTTTATATGATTTTCACCTGTCCCGCCAGAATCCACTGATGTCCCCAGGGGGATGCAGTGGTGGAGGCCAGCGGCCCTCAGCGGAGCCCTGCGGCCCCTGTGGGGGCTGGGGGCAGGGCCGGAGTGAGACAGTACCGAGCTGGGCGTTTGCGGGGTCTGGGAAGGGGGGAACTTTCTCTTCTACAGACTCGAATGCGTCCGTTTGGGGAAGATTTCAGCGCTCCTGACTTCCGGGAACTCTGCTTAGCTCAAAGCCTCTTTCCTGCTTCTCCACTCGGTTGTCACGGGTCTTAGGGCCCGCAGTGAAGGGGCTTTCAACAGGGTCACTTGTTTGGGTGGGTCTCTTCTCCCGGGAACTGCAGCTGCTGGCGCTAACTTGGACCCAGGTCCGGCTGCCCATCAGGGTGTCCAGGTGACCGACCCTGCCCTCTCACTGCTGCTTTTCAGACTCTTCCCGTCTGTTGTGAGATGAGCACTGTGTTCTGCCTGTGATTCTCAGATGTGAATAATGTGCCCGACGCCTGCAGCCCTGCAGTTCCCGAGGTCTGCGTGGGCTGTATTGGCTTAGGGAGGGTCGATGAAATTGATCCAGATTCCTGCTTGGAGGAGTGTTGGGGGAGGGGTGAACTTCTGCCTGTCTGCGCCGGTGAGCGGGGAGCGCTTTGTGATTCATGGACCGTCCTCTTGGCACGCAGTTCTGTTGTCTTGCTAATAGGAGATGCTCAGAACATTTACTCCAGATGAAATCACTGGCTCAGAGACACCGGCACCGCTAAATCACCACTCTTTTAGGGAGTACCAACCATCATTTTTCTTTTTGCCTTTTGTAGATTTGACTCACAAAATTAATGGAGGCTTGTGTTAGAATAAAAAGCAATTTAATTTCATTTTTTAAAAATGTGAAATATGAACTGCTCCATTACTGACCTTTTGTAAATTAAGAGGCCGTGTAAGATTCTTTGGGGCAGTAATCAATGTATTTCTCTTTTATTTTCGTAAGAGGCAGCCCTGGGATGAGGCAGGGCTGATGTGAGACACACGCGATTCTCTGCCGCTGTGCTCGGAGACGCTGTTGGCTGGGTCAGGTGAGGGGCTGGTGTCTAGCGGTCACTTCCTAGGGGCTGGTGGCTAGCGGTCACTTCCTAGGGGGTTGTTTGGCTAGCGGTCACTTCATTAGGGGACTGGTTGGCTAGCCGTCACTTCGTGGCAGAGCTAACAGGGGAGATAAAGACACACCACACACACACACACACACACACACACACGCCCCTCCAGCAGTTTTCTGGGGACCCCTTTTTCTTTCACTGCTTGATCACTTGCTCGCTTGACTTCCCGTTAATCATCGATGTGCTCGAGCGGACACCAGTAGCGTCTCCATTCATCCCTGTCACGTGCTGTTGTAGCCCAGTGGCGTCTGTTCATTCTAGGAACACGAAGAGCCTCAAACCGATCATTCAGGGTCTTGATGAAGAAGTCTGACCATCTTGTAGGTGGGCGGCCACTCAGTCTTTTGAAATCCCGTGGAATCCAGTCGGTAATGGTTCTAGTCCAGTGGTTGTCTCCAAATCGCATTAAAAGTCCAGCCCATCTGATTTTCGACGCCTTGGCAAGCAAGACAACGTCCCTGATTCTTGATTGTTGACAGAGGTCAGAACTCCGGATTCTTTCTCTCATTTGAGTGAAGCATGATACTCCAAGCATAGCTCTTTCGATTCCTCTTTGGGAGACCCGAATAGCGTTCTCATCCTGTTTTTGTAGGGCCCAGGTCTCTGAGGCGTATGTTAATGCAGGAAGAACAGTGGAATCGAAGAGATGTGCCCGGAGCTGGAGGTTCTTTGTCCTCTTAGCTATTTCTTTGACGCTCTTGAAGGCGTTCCAAGCCGCTCTCTTCCTCCTGCGCAGCTCGGGTGCCAGGTCATTTGTCATGTTGACCTCTCGACCTAGGTACACATAGCTGTTGCATTCGGAGATGGTCGTTCCATTGAGAGCGAATGGGGCGTCAGGAACGAGACTGTTTCTCATGAACATTGTCTTTGTGAGATTCAGCTGGAGTCCGACCTTTCCACACTCACGGTTGAAGTGGGCCAGCATTTGTGCCGCTTGACTAATGTCAAGCTTTTCTGGATTTTATTTTATTTCTTTTGGGCCACAGCTGTCAGTGCTCAGCGCTGACTCCTGGCTCTGCACTCAGGAATCACTCCTGGCAGAGCTCTGGAGGATGCCGGGGATTGAACCCGGGTAGACGGGTGCCAGGCAAACGCCCTCCCTGCTGTACTATCGCTCTAGCCTCTCTGAATTCTTTTTGAATTAATTTCTGAATTGGTGATGATGATAATTCTATTTCATTTTTCTTAAAATGCCGGGGATCCAGCCCAGGACCCCATACAGTCCAGGCAGGTGCTTTCCACAGAGCTGCCAGAATTGGGGGGGAAATGGCTCATTTTCTCAGAGAGACCTGAAGGTCATGCACGAGCTGGCCAGAGAGAAGCCGAAGGGTCCGCGGCACAGGCCATGTGTGGGAGGCCTGGACGCGCCCTCGTCCCCCTGACCACTGCCAGCAGTGACCTCTGAGCATTGAACTGGGAAATGGAAGGGGAAGAAGGGTCTGTGTGCGATTTCAGGGGCTGCCTTTCACTGCTGGGTGCCGGACCCTCGTCTGCTGTGTCCCTCTGTGCCTCCAGGAGTGTCTCTCCCACAGTCTGGGCGTTTCTGGGCTGCCCTCTACCCTCTGGGAGTCTGAAGGTGGGAGGGAGGCAGTTCTCCCGGACCCTGGGCTCAGAGTGCAGAGCTGGGCTCCAGGATGGCAGAACAGATGCCATGGTGGTTCGGGGGCTGCCCGGGAGCCCCCTGGCTCACAGCCCGGCCCGGCCCTGTTGGGTCGGAAGAACATCCAGGCTGCTCCCCCAGTTACGGTGCTCCTCCAGTCCCAGTGCTCTCCAGTCATGGACAGTGCTCCGCCAGTCATGGACGGTGCTCCCCCAGTCACGGGGCTCTCCCAGTCAGCACTGCTCCCCCAGTGACAGTGCTCCCCCAGTGACTACTCCCCCAGTCATGGTGCTCCCCGTGTCATGGTGCTCCCTCTGTCACGGTGCTCCCCTGTCAGTGCAGCTCCCCCAGTCACGCTGCTGCTGTCCCCAGCCCAGACCCAGACAAGCACGGTCCTTGGGCCCCCTGGAGGTCTCGGCTCCCTTCCTGGCAACCGTCTCACCCGGAAGTCACCTGTCGCCTAGCTCACGCGGCCTCCTGAACAAAGCCTTTTCTCTGCATTGAGTTTGGGTCTCTGGTATATTAGCTGCTCCGATGTCCTGTTTTTGGTCCCTCCTGCCGGTCATTTTGCGCTGCCCTGGGTGTTAGGGCACCTGCCCGCTCCCGGCTGGAGTCCCCGCGGCTGTTCCCGAGCGGTTCTCAGCCGCCACACGGCGTGGCCAGCTCCCGCAGGGTTCCCTTGGGTGACGTTCCTTGCCTCCTGCTCGCCACCGGCTCTGGCTACTCCCGGGGCCAGTGGCGTCCCAGACTTGGCAGATTCCTGACCGGCCTCTCGTGGCCTGGGCACGTGCTGTTTCTTTATTAAGATGGATATAGCTTTATTAAGGTGGATAGAGCTTGATTCTTTCCTTTCTCCCCTTTTCCGGCCATACCTGGTGGTGCTGTGATGGGGGTGGGGGGTTGGGGGGTGGCAGGTGCAGGAGGGAAATGGGGGGCTGGGATTGGGGGCCGAGGCTGGGGGACCCACCGCAGGGCACTCCAGCCCTTGGGCCGCCGTGGCTGTTCCAGGATGTTCGGCAGTTGCGTTCCCGGCGGTCTCACGCGGGCGCCCACCCCTGCAGAGGCGCCGCTTGGTGCTGCGGGAGCTGTGCCCTCCCCGAGGCTCGTGGCCACAGCTGGGCTTGGTGCGCTTCTGGCTCCCTCGAGCGTTTCTGGAACCCTCCGCCCTTCATCAGCCTCTGCGCGCAGCTGGGCGTGTTTGCGTAGGTGACACACGTTTTCCTTTTCAAAGGCTCAGCTCAGTCTGCCAGACGTATGTTCCCGCTGTGTTTCTGTGGCCTAACTAATGGACTGTGTTGCGTTTGTGTTTTGCAGACTGCTCTCTCTGTATCAGAAAATTTCTGTCCTACAAAACACAGTGCCCGACGTGTTGTGTGGTGAGTTCGCCTTTCCTTTTCTCCTCTTTTGGGTCAGCGAATCAGTTGCTGCAGGCTTCCTGCTGCTTGTGTATACAGAGCCCACGGGAAGCCGGGCAATCATTGGATTAAATTCCAGAAGAGAATGCTTTTTAAATTGATGTGTTTTTTCCCCTTGGGAAGAGGGTGGCCTCACCCAGCAGTACTCAGGGGTGACTCCTGACTCTGCATCAGGAATCACTTCTCATGGGCTCCGGGGACCCTATGCGATGCTGGGGATTGAACCCGGGTTGGCCGTGTGCACGGCCAACACCCCTTACCCACTGTACTATTGCTCCGGCCCCTTTTTGGTTTATTTATTTACTGAGTGAAATAAATTAATTTACTAGTTATTTTTTATTGAATGAAAAAATTGACTTAGAAAGCCATGAGGGGAGAGAAAGAGAGGAAATCATGTGTTCAAGAGAACACGGGCTTCTCCAGAGTGGAGAAAGGCCGAGAACCCTGAATATGAGCACGCGAAATGCGTGTCTCTCACCGAGAGCCACTGTGTGTGTCAAGGAGGCAGAAGCCGTGGGTGGCTTGGGGATCACGTCACTGAGCTTGTCAGCCGGACCTCCGGGGAAGGTTCTAGCAAATCCCGTAGTTTGGCTTCAGAAGCGTCGCAAGGAGCGGACCTGGGGGCAGGTGGGGGGAGTGGGAAGACGTGGGGCCGAGGGGTGGCCGCCCTCTTCCTCACTCCAGTGGCTCCCTTCAGGCCAACAGGCAGAAAGTGGCCGGCGAGACCCCTGGGCTGCGGTGTCGCCCTCTGTGGGGGCTTGTCCGCTCCGTGCCCAGGGGAGGGCCCATTCCTGTGGTGCACCATACGCAGGGATGGCATTCTGGAGTATTCGCTCCTTATAACCGAGTTCAAGCTCTTGGTAACAGTCTCATTGCCCTGATAAAGGCCCTCACACCAAGGCCCCTCCATCCCCCTCCCCCCATTCCCACAGTCCAGCCCGGCCCTCCAGGAGTCCCCGCCCACGCAGGGTCCCTCAGGTCCCTCTGCGACGTGGTGCTGGAGCTTGGAGAAGGTGTGAGCTCACAGAGTAAACCCTGGGGGCTGATGCGAGTGTGCGTTTGTGGCCCAGAGCCGCCTCCCCACTGCCCAGGCCTCCCCAGCAGAGAGACAGGTAGCCGGGGACCACAGCCTGATGGTGAAAGTTGCCCTTTAATGCAGAGCTGCCAGCATACTTCTAGAACGAGTAAAGGGGTAAGGACATAGGTGCGATTGCTCGATCATTTACATAGATAGACATTTGGCAGAGGAAATTCTCTTGCGGAGATCAACTCCAGAAGACACTCTTATCCACATTGCTCTTATCTTTCCCTCTAGTTGCACACGTTATCTCTACTTGCAGTTGTTTGGGTAAACACGGTGAGAGACAAAGATCCCAAGCTTAGTTGTCTGGGCTGAGAGCAAGCAAGGCTTTTACCATAAATCCCAGACTAAGTCCTCAGACCGGCTCACTTGTCCTTCCCCGTCGGGGTCTGTCTTTTAAGTCGTAACAGCTTGCATCAAGACCATGCATCCATGCTTTCTAGAATGTCCCGTTTCGATGCCGGGTCGCTTTGCCACTCGCCCCGAGTCCATCCCAGTCCCACCGCGGGACCTCCGTTTTGGGGCGTTAGGAACTACAGCAACTGGAGCCTGAGTCAAGTAATTATGACCAAGTAATTATGCCCAGGAGCAGACACATTTTGGAGCCAGTCGACTCCACATGTTAATGATCTTTCTGTGTTTGACCAAAGAGCATTGCTCAATAGTAAAATATAAAAAGGCCATCGGGGAAATGAACAGAAAAGCAGGTACAAATGGACAGCACTTCAAATACAAAGCAGTGCAAATTCAGAATTACCAGGGAGTTTTGGCTTATAACTGACCTGGGGAACTGTGATAGTGTGAGGTAAAATATAAGGGAAAGGTTAAAGATAAACTTTTACCAAATTCGGGATGCTAGCAAGGGCATGTTAAGCTTCTCAGGGAGGAAGAAAGGGGGCAATTCATTGACAAAGCCTAAAGCACTTAGGGTTGAGATCCGACACAAGGAAAGGTTGAAACAAGACTCTAACCGAATTGGGGATTTAGCAAGGGCCTGGGAGGCTTCTCCGGGGGGAGGAAAGGGGCAGTTCACCCGTGAAGCCGAAGACCTTAGGGTTGATATCCAACAGAAGGGTCCGCGTGGGTGTGCTCGGGTGGAGACCCAGCAGATGTGGACCCTGGGCTGTGAGCGGGAGAGGGGCTCTGGAGACCCTCTTGGAAGGCCTGGCGGGGACTCCCGGGAGGAGGGCGACACGTTTCCACAAGCCAGAGCGCGGCGAGTTAATTACGATTTCTGACCTTTTGCCATCTGTTGTTTTCCTTTTCTAGACAGTCACAGAGCCAGACTTGAAGAATAATCGCATATTAGATGAACTGGTAAAAGGCTTGAACTTTGCACGGTATGATTGCTTTCCGTGACTAACCCCTAATACGTTGGTGTTTTCCGCGTGCTCCCTCTTCACTCTGTTGCTTTGGGGGCTGAGGGGTGGGGGGAGTTTGCATATTTTGTGGGATAACGGGGATTTGACATCAGCCATTAATCATGCATGTCCCAGGTACCGGTAATTGAGTTTTCTACCTTTCATCACAGAAAATTCCCATTACAAGAAGCGAGTTCATTGCGGATCTGGTCACTCGCTCACTTTTGTGTCCCGCAGATCCCCCGGCTTCCTTGTCTTCCTCCGGCAGCTGAGAGTGGCCGCTGGCGGCTCCCTTAAGGGCGTCGGGCCTGTGCACGCGTGCCCGCATGTCTAACCCCTAACTGTCTGCTGTTCCCTGCCTGTGTCCGGGAGGGAGTGGGAGGTAGCCGGGGGCGCCCTGGAGAGCTGAGAAATGCGTTTGTTTTGCTTCGCCATCAGATGGTGGTGGTGGTGGGGTGGGGGGTGACCGTTTGCGTGTGCAGAGGGGTATGTGACAGGCGTGACTTGGATTGTTTTTGGCGTCCACAGCAGGGAGGAGGAGGGGACTTGCGCGGGGACGCTGCCCTGGAGCCTGTGGCTCTCTGGGCTGTCTCACGTTGTTTCCGGAACTGTAGAGATGTTCCTTGCAGCAGATCCCCGGGCTTATCCTTCGGTGTGCATGCTGCCTCCTGAAACTGCTTTTAGCTCCCCAAGCTCACACGACATAGGCCAGCGGGTCACAGGGCCCGGCGATCAGCGTTTCCTCCCTGCGCAAACGCGGGCAGAGGTGTGCGTGTGCCTGGATGAGGAAGCGGAGACTGCGATCCTCGGGGATCCCTGCTTTTATTGATCATGTATTTTATTGACTGACTCATTTTTGGGGGTTGGGGCCGCTGACGGTGCTCTGTGCTTGGAGCCCCTCCTGGTGGTGCTCGGAGCGGATCGAGCCTGGCCCGTCCTGCCTCTCGCCCTTCCTGCTTTTGTCCTGTGCCAGTTCGATGCTGAGGTTTGTGGGGAAGCCCGGTCAGGTCCTTTTGGGGGAGGTGGGAGGCTAAGAGGGCTCTCCCTCAGCAGTTTTCAAGTGCCCGGCGGTCCCTGGTGGTGACAGCTCACCCCTGGTACTGTGGCCCTGCTCAGGCCCAGTGGCGCTGAGGACCACCGGGATGCAGGGGACCCAGGGCAGCGTCCGGTGGCCTTGGGGCGGGGCCTGGGTGCCGGGCCTTGAGCTCGGGGTACTGGGCACGTGAGGCCCGTCCAAATCGTGTCCTGAGAGAGGAATTGGATTTTCTTATTCTCTGACTTTGCTGAGATGGCAAAATCACGTGGCCCGTCTCCTTTGTGGCTTCTTTTAATTTAGCCGACTAATGTGGGTTTACAGCTCGAAGTACTTGCTTTCAGAGCATGATGTCACCACACCAAAGTGTCCCGGTGACCTTCTCGCTGTCTGTGGGACCCTCCAGGCCTGCGCTCCCCCTCCCCCCACCCCCCAGCCGCCGCAGTGCTGTCGTCAGAGTCTAGCTCAGGTTTAATTTTCTCTTTTTCTTTCAGCGCCGGGGATCAAACCCAGGGCCCCACACACGCAAGGCAAGTGCTCCCCCAGCTGGGCCGTGTGCCGGCCTTGGCCTGACTTTGTCCTTAGCTCTGACTGGAAGCAGATCGGCCTCCTCCTAGGGAGAAGGAGCCTTGCAAAGGACTGAGTCTTTGGGTCCACTGACTTCCAGGCAGCCCCAGGGGGCCTGGGAAAGTTGGTGTCTCCTTCCTCCCCGCTCCCGTGGGGGTCAGCCGTGCTGTGAGGGGCCCGGCTGCTGCCTTCTTGGAAGGGGATTGTCGTTCTTCTTGGAAGGGTCTCGGATCATTTCTTGGATAGTTGCCACATCTAAACTGCTGTGGCATCTCCTTTCAAAATAATAGGCGAGAGAGCAGTTCAGAATAATCCACTTCGGCACGCGTTTGAAGCCTGTTGTAAGATGGATGACGGAGGAAGTTTAATTTTATGATCAAAATGTAAGATATTCTCATTGCTTGTTGATTTCATTGTTTCCCATCTTTCCCATCCATCTTTGCCATGTTATTACATTATGACATTTAAAGCTTGAATATTCTAACCTGATTAATAAAATGGTAATAAAAAGGTTACGGTTATTGGAAATAATTCCGGAGGTTTTCAGACTCAAGGCTGACATTCAGATCTTACATGCTCAAGTTTTGCCTCTGATTTTCAAGGAGCAAATGTTTTCTAAAATTCGTTTTCGTTACAATAACTGTGCTTAAGCTGCTGTATAAAGTTTGGGTAGAATATTCTTTTCTAAGTGAGCTGTCATTCTTTTCTACCTGGGATGTCTAGATTCTTTTGAATATTGTTTCTACTGTATATCAGCCCGGTGTTCCAGCACCCACCGGAGTCTCCTGAGCCCCGCCAGGCGTGATCCCTGAGTGCAGAGCCAGGAGTAAGCCCTGAGCACCACCAGGTGTGGCCCCAAGACAAACAAACAAAAAAAAAAACCCAATTATTTTTTGAACCCCTCAGGGGCCAGGGAGGCAGCGGGACTTCCGCGCCCTCACCTTGCCTGGGACTCACCCTCGTTTGACCCTTTGATTCTCAGCAGCACACAGTCCCCCAAGAAATGTTGGGTGCAGCCCTGCGGGGTGTGAACACTCACGCCTGGGCCGCCTGAGCACTGCACCCCCCCCCCCCACCCGTCCCCGAACCAGGTGCACAAAAGCACCTTAGGTGGTAATTGCCACAGATACGCCTTTTGGACGTCTGTGAAAGCATGTGGACTATAACCTGTTGGGGGACCACACCTGGCGGTGCACAGAAACTACTCCTGGCCGTCAGGGTCCATATGGGATGTCGGTGTGGAACCGAGTCAGCCGCATGCCCGGCAAGCCTCTCTCCTCTGTCTCGTCGCTTTGGCCCCGAGGTCACCTTCTGTGACGGCCCGGGTTTGGGTGTCCTGACTTTGGACTCGGCTGGTCCAGGTTCCGCCCAGCCCTGCTCGTGATGGGCACCGGGAGGGCGGCGCGTGTCTTGGGCATGGCCGGAGCCCAGATGGTGCCTCCTGCAGAGCCGCCCTGGCCGGCTCTCCGTGCCCCCTGCCTTGCCGTGTGCGTCCCGGAGCCTGCTTGGAGGCTGCCCTTTCTCACCGCAGGCCTGGCAGGGCCACAGGGCAGAGCAGCGCGGTCTTGGCTGCGGCTTCCCAGGGTCTCCCCGCTCGCCCGTGTCCTGTGGTCGCAGTGTTGCGACTTAGCTGGCTGGACACCAGGGGGCTCTGATCCCAGTGAAGGGGGACGCGGTGACCGTCAGGTTTTCCGGGGCCTGCCACGCCGCAGTCTCTCCGAGGGGCCGTACATCACCTAAAAAGGGTCGCTGTCATCGCTGTCTGCCGGGTGCCGCTGGGGTTAGTGCCCACTGACGTGCCATAATTCACAGGAGCGAGGGAACGTGAATTAACTCGGCCGGTGGCAGGTGACGTCAAGCGTCCGTCTCTGAGTCACTGTGGATTCACAACTCATTTTTAAGGTGTGCACTGCTGTGAAGTCTCTTGATTTTAAGTACTTTTTTTTTGCACAATCATGGTTTCCAAATTTATCCGCTCGGCCAGCTCAGTGTTTCTCAGGCGGGGGGCCCGTGATCCTTCGTGGGTCCTCAGGATACCCCAAGGAGGCCGGCCACAGGTGAAAATCCCGTACCTAGGGCGGAGGCAAGGTGGCCAGGGCCTGCTCAGAGCCAGCACATGCCTCACTTTCCCCCGGTCCTGGCCTCTCGCAGCCACGCTTTGCTGGAGCCTCTTAGAGCGTTGGCTGTAGGCCAGAGAGAGAGAGCACAGTGGGCAGGGCACTGGCCTGGCACGCGGCCGATTTGGGCTTAATCCTCAGCACGTGTGGTCCCCCGGCCTGTCGGAGCGATCCCTTCGTGACAAGCACTGCTGGGTGTGGCTCAAAAAAACACCCTAAAAATAGCGTTGCTTGTGTGGGCCAGAATCAAGTACAGGAGTGAAGGCACACACCCAGCCTGGCTTCAATCCCCGAAACCCCATATGGTCCCCCGAGCCCCGTTGGGGTGATCCATGAGCTCAGAGCCAGGAGTGACCCCTGAGCACTGCTGAGTGTGGCCCCAAATCCAAAGGAACAGAAGTGTTGGCTTAATGTCACCCCAAACCAGGCGACCCTCACTCCCAGCCTCCTTTCTGCAGATGGTGGGTCACTGCTCTCATGCCCAGGATGTACCCCGGGAAGTCCCCCGCCCCCCCGCCCCCACCACACACATACACCCCGCATGCCCCGAGCTTTGTCCGTCAGCACATCCTCTGCCTCCATATCTTTGATGTGCTCCTGGCACAGCTGGTCTGGACACGGCCAGGGCGGCCCCGTCTGACCCCACAGAAGGCCTGCTGGCGCTAGTTCCCATCAGTGTTTCCCCCCAGCCAAGCGCCCAAGGCTCCCGCAGGTCTCAGCCCAGGCCGCTGTGCTGCGAGTGGTCCGGCTCCCTGAGGGGCCGTCCCTGTGGCCTCGCTCACCCTCGCCTCCACCGTGCTCATTCCCGCCCGAGACGCTGGCACGTGAGGAGATGAAAGCGTTTCACCCTGGCACGCGGCTTGGCTTGATTGTCGCAAGGGTGCAGCCGTCTGCCGCTGTCTGTCCACACGTCTAAAGTCAGAGTAAATCAGAGCAAAACCCGCCTGCATGTGAGTGAAAGCCAGCGGGAGGCGTTTGTGGGGTCACGCCCGCGGGGGCGGGGAGAGGGTGAGTCCTCCTCGGGTCAGACTGGCCCCGCGCCGCAGCTGTCTTGAGTCCAGCCCCCGGGCCCGAGCGGAGGGGACACGTGGTGCTCCTGCGTTGGGACCATGTTTCCTCTCACCTCCAATTTTCTCCCCACAAGCTCTTAGTTTCAGAGTTTTTATTGTGGAAAAGTGCAAATGATTACGAAAACGGAGGCAGTAGAATGAAAGCCCCTAACGTGCACCTCAGCAGGTGCACGCGTGTTTCTGTGTCTTGCTGTGGTGGGCCCGGGGCCAGCCCAGCAGCAGGACTCCAGTCACCCTCAGCTCCTGCCCCCCGGTGAGAGTCACGGTGACCGAGGGGGTGGCGGGGAGGCAAGCGCCCTGCCCACTGCACCGTCATCCCCACCCGGGTAAGAATTCTGAAATCATTGTTGTCATTTTGAGTTTACTTTTTTTTTTTTAACGTAAAATTAACAGACAGGGTTTGTGGTTGGATTGGATTTTGGTGAGTGCAAGCTTGTCATTACGTCGCAAGCAAGATGTCCCCACCATCATCGCTTCTCATTCTTCTTGGGATTGGTCATGTGCGTGTGCGTGTGTGCGTGTGTGTGTGCGCGCGTGTGTGTGTGTGCGTGTGTGTGTGCACCAGGGCAGCCACCACTCCGGTTTCGGTCCTTGGAGGTTGTTCCCAGGCTTCATGGTGCTGGAATCAGAGGGAATATTTTCGTTCCTCCTGCCCCCCGTTTCTCTGGTCTCTGACGGCTCCTATCCGTTTTCATCCTTTTTTTATTACCAGATAGCGCCCCGTGTGTGATTCATACAGTTTGTTTATCTCCTCACCGGTTGATGAATTTGGATTGTTTCTGGTTTCTGGCCTAAGTGATGAACAGCGGCGGGGTGACCCTTCGGAGGTGTTTTTCTCCTCTGGAGTGCCTACTGAGAGTGGAGTTTCTGTCTCGGAGGAGACAGATATGGAACAGTGTGAAGAATCGGCAGTTCTTGCCGGGGCCGGCCTGACGGGGGCGGGACGCGGCAGATCACGTCCTGGCCAGTGTTTGGTGCCGTTCATCTGTATTCTGCGAGTTTTTCTGTCTGTGAAATGGCGACTGATTTTAGCCTGTTTCTGGATGACTAAATGCACCTTTTCATGTCGTATTTGCTGAATCTGTTTGTATCTTTGGTAAAGTATTTGTTTCAGGTTCCTATTCAGGTTTTAAAAGTTATATTCACCATTTTCTTATTGACTTTGGTTTTTGATGTGTTTGGGTCAAATGTGCGTATTGTGTGTTTTCGCCCGAACTTGCCTTTCATTTCTAAGGCGCTACTCTCAGGAACGGATATTTCAACTTCAAACTCCAGTTCCCACCCCCTGAGACCCCCACAGACCCTACTTTTTTTTTTATATTGCCCAAGAAAAAATGTGTGCCTGTCTAAAATATTTATGAAATTTTCTTTCATATTTTCTTCTGTAATAGTTTTAGCTATTGCCCACAGGTTTATGTACCTTAATTATTCAGGTTAATTTGCTAGGAGCTGGGAAGTCTGTCTTTGTCTCTGTCTCTGTGTCTCTCCCTCTCTCCTCCCCAGGTGCTCAGTGGAAGGCAAATGTTCTCTGCTCCCTTTTTTTTTCTTTTTGGTCCACACCCAGCGATGCACAGGGGTTTCTCCTGGCTTTGCACTCAGAAATCACCCCTGGTGGTGCTCGGGGACCATATGGGATGCTGGGAATTGAACCTGGGTTGGCCATGTGCAAGGCAAACGCCCTCCCCGCTGTGCTGTGGCTTCAGCCCCATTCTCTGCTCCTTAACTCCTTTGCCTGCGTTTCTCCATTTTGGAGATGGGTTTAAATTAGGTTTTATTATACATTGCTTTTTTAAAAATTGTCTTTTTTTTTTTTTAAAGCCTTTTCTCTTTAACATTATAGTTCTGTTGTTAGTTTGGCTTTCAGGCACGCCCGGCCGGCTCCGGGTGAGACTGCTCCTCTCTGAGCTGGCTCCCTGCGGCACCCCGAGCCCAGCCCGCCAGTGGTCCCCGGTCTCCAGCATGGTGCTCGGGGTTCTGGGGTCCGTGTGTTCTAATGCTGCTGTCACCTCTGGCCCTGCTTCCATTGACGCTTTCATTTCTTGATCGATGGCTACTTTTTTGTGCTTCTTTGCATGCCCCATGCTTTTTAAATGAATGTTATGGATGTCACGGATGAAACATTGCAGGGGAGGTGAATTATCTCCCGTTGAAGGATGTTGAATTCTATTACGGGCCATTAAAATGCCCCCTCTTCGCGTCTGTGCCGTCAGGGCCCAAGCTAGTGTCTCACTGGGGCTGGGCTCTCTAGTTGGCTCTGTTCCAGCCTTGTGGCCTCTGTGACCGTTTCGGGGTACAGACGATTGTCACCCCCGTTTCAGCAGTGGTGGGCTCACTCCCAGTGTCCCCGTCCGGCCTTAGGGGTCTCGGCCCCTTTGCCTGCGTGTCCCGCCCTAGTTTGATTCGTCTGATGAGGGGGTATAAGGGCTTGCAGCTTTCCCCGCCTGGCCCCTGACCTCTGCTCTCTCTCCCCAGGGCAAGTGCTGGCTCCTTTTCAGCTTCAGCGTGCTATCCATGTCTCAGAATCCCAGGGCAGACTTCTCGGGGATTGGGTGGCCGTCGTCCCAGCTCTCCCTCAGCAGTTCCAGGCCTGTGTGGTCAAGCCGACCCCAGCCCGTGGTTGCCTAGAAAGAAAGTTGCTTCCGGCTGGAGAGTTTCCTCTCCACCTTCTCCACGACCACAATCCAGAGTCCCTTTGTTTTCCTTTAGAGATGATGAACTGCTGCCGAAGTCAGATTTATTGCGGTGTGTTTTGCTCTAGAAGGAAGCCGTTGTTTTGGGCACTGTGTCTGATAGAGCTGGGCGTGGGGCCGTGGCCATCAGCTGACATCCTCTGTCTCTGTCTCATGCGCTTCAGGAACCACGTGTTGCAGTTTGCTCTGGAGTCTCCGCCCATCTCTCCTGCTTCGTCTTCCTCGAAGAAGCCCGCAGCACGCGTGGACCCGCCCGGGGGCGCCAGGCAGCCCCAGAAGCAGGGGACCCGTCTGCTGGACAATTTCCTGATCAAGGAGACTGGGGCTTCGGCGCCCCCGCCCTTGGCCAGAGACAAGGAAAGCAAATTCAGCCCCCGGAAAGAGGCGCAGGCCGCAGCCAAGGGCAAGGAGTCCGCGGATAGGGCAGTGCCGGCCTCCTCCGCCACCGCGGGGCCCGAGACACCCTCCACGTCCACCCCGAATCCCAGCCCAAGAGGTAGGACCTGGGTTCCAGCCTGCGGGGCTTCTTGCTGAGCACGCGACCTTCCACGAGAGTGGGTGGTCTTCTCTGGGAGGCGGGAGGAGCCTCTTGTTCCCTTCCCTGCCTGGAACACGGGTCCAGGCCTCGGCCACCCCCTGCCGCAGCCCCAGGGGGTGTCACGCTCTGAGTGTGGCTCTTAGCTATGCGGGCCTGGGGGAATGTGAGTTCCGTGGTTTCGTCTCACCTGGAGCATGCACTTGGGGAAAGTGTTTTCTGCACGTTGTGCAGCCTGGCGTCTCGTGTAGTCTCTCCTCTGGTGGCCGCCCCGTGGGCCTTTGCCCAGTGGCTCGGCCGCCGCTTGCTATGTCGTCACGGTCATTCTTTGTTTCCTGCCTGTCTGGTGCTAGTCAGGGTTGGGGTTTGCTTTTCTGATCTCAGTTGCTAAAAGATGCCAGGTTACAGGGGTCCAAACCCTTTCTGCAGATAACAGTCTTTCTCTTCTTTTGAAATTTGCAGTGGATTGCCCTGTTTGTGGCGTCAGCATTCCGGAGAATCACATTAATAAGCACCTAGACTGCTGTTTGTCCCGTGGCGAGAAGAAGGAGAGCCTCCGAAGGTAGGCCGTTCCCACTCGGCGGCTGTCGTGTACAGTGTGGGCTCGGGGACTGTCTCCAGTGGCTGAGCACCGCATGCGCCTGTGTCCTTACGCTCGGCACCGTCTGCCACTTCCCTCTCGATCCTCGCCTCCCCTCGGCAGGGCGGACTCATCTCACAATGCTCTCCCGAGGCAGAGGATCCGAGTGTGGGGAGGAGTTACTCTCAGGAGAAAACCATGGCTTAGAACTCACTCACCTTTGCTTGTTTGCGGGCCACACTGGGCAGTGCTCAGGAGGACTCAGCTGGGTGCTCAGGGTTCCGTGCAGTGCAGGGGACCCAACTGTGGACTCCAGGCCTCGGAGCCATCTCCCAGGCGCCCAGATGCAGCTTTTGTAGATGGTTTTGTTTCGGCAGAGGGACCACACCGTCTTTAGATGCAGCTGCCACAACGGGCTCTTGTCAGTTAGTCTTAAGACAGACTTGTCCATAGACGGCTGTGAATTCTCAAAATGGTTCCGTGAACTGCCCTGTGGAGTGCCGCGGACCCTTGGAGTGTACAGAGCCGTGGAGTATACGGTCATCAGAGTGTACAGTCCCGTGGAGTATAGTCACCTGGAGTGTATAGTCCCATGGAGTAGACAGTCCCCTGGAGTGTACAGTTCTATGGTGTATATAATCCCGTGGAGTGTACAGTCCCATGCAGTGTAAAATACCCTGGAGTTACAGTCCTGGATGTGTACAGTCCGGTGGAATGTACAGTCCCCTGGAGTGTACATCCCGCTGGAATGTACCGTCCCGTGCAGTGTACAGTCCCCTGCAGTGTAGAGTCCCAAAGAGTATACTATCCTCTGGAGTATACAGTCCGGTGGTGTGTACGGTTCCCTGGAGTCTAGAGTCCCTTGGTATGTATAGTTTTGTGGAGTGTACATTCCCATGGAGTGTTCAATCTGTGCAGTATAGAGTCCGGCACAGTGTACAGTCCGTGGAGTATACCATCCCCTGGAGTGTACAGTCCCATGGTGTGTATAGTATTGTGGAGTGTACATAAGTCTGTAGAGTATACATTGTGCTGGAGTGTACAGTTCCTTAGAGTGTACAGTCTCCTGGAGTGTATAGTCCCATGGATTGTATAGTCCTATAGAATACACAATCCCATGGACTGTACAGTCCCTGCAGTGTACAGTCCCCTGCAGTGTATAGTCCTGTGGAGTATATCATCTCCTGGAGTGTACAGTCTGTTATTGTATACAGTCCCTGGAGTGTAGAGTCTCTTGGTGTGTATAGTCTTGTGGAGTGTACCTTCCTGTGGAGTGTTCATTCTGTGGAGTATACAGTCCGCTGGAGTATACGGTCCCGTGGAGTATACAGTCTGCAGGAGTGTACAGTCCCCTGCAGTGTACAGTCCAGTGCATCATACCATCCCCTAGTTGTACGGTCCTGTATAGTATACAGTCCCCTGAGGTGTACAGTCCTGTAGTATGTACAGATCCATGGAGTGTAAACTCCCATGTAATGTTCAGTCTGTGGAGTATACAGTTTGCTGGAGTGTATAGCCCCCTGGAATGTATGGTTCACTGGAGTGTTAGTCCAGTGGAGTGTACAGTCCCATGGATTGTATAGTCCCGTGGAATATACAATCCTGTGGAGTGTACAGTTCCCTGAAGTGTACAGTTTCGTGGAGTGTGCAGTCCCATGGAATGTACAGTCGCCTGGAGTGTACAGTCCCCTGCAGTGTACAGTCCCGTGGAGTATACCATCCCCTGGAGTGTATAGCCCGGTGGTATATACAGTCCCTAGTGTATTGAGTCCCTTGGTGTGTATAGGCTTGTGGAGTATACATTCCCGTGGATAGTTCATTCTGTGGAGTATATAGTCCCCTGCAGTGTACAGTCCCGTGGAGTGTACACTCTGCTGAAATGTACAGTGTGCAGTCCCCTACAGTGTACAGTCCAGTGCAGCATACCGTCCCCTATTTGTACACTCCCGTATAGTTTACAGTCCCCTGTTGTATACAGTCCTGTGCTGTATACAGGCTTGTGGAGTTCACAGTCCCGTGGTATGTATAATCTTGTGGAGTGTACATTTCGTGGAGTGTTCAGTCTGTGGAGTATACAGTCTTCTGGATGTACAGTCCCCTGCAGTGTATAGTCCTGTGGAGTATATCATCTCCTGGAGTGTACAGTCTGTTATTGTATACAGTCCCTGGAGTGTAGAGTCTCTTGGTGTGTATAGTCTTGTGGAGTGTACAGTCAACTTTAGTGTATGGTCTGCTGGAGTATACAGTCCCTTGGAGTGTATAGTCCTGTGGATTGTATAGTCCCATGGAGTATACAATTCCATGGAGTGTACAGTCCATGTGGTGGACAGTCCCTTGGAGTGGACAGTTCTGTGAGTGTACAGTGCCCTGCCTGCAGTGTACAGTCCTGTGATCTATACCATCCCTTGGAACGTGCAGTCCGGTGTGTGTTCAATCCCCTGGAGTGTAGAGTTTCTTGGTAGGTATAATTTTGTGGAGTGTACATTCCCGTGGAGTCTTCAGTCTGTGGAGTATACAGTCCACTGGAGTGTACGGTCCCCTGGATTGTAGTATCGTGGTATGTCCAGTTCCGTGGAGTGTATAGTCCAGTGGTGTGTGTAGTCCCAGTACCGTGCAGTGTTCAGTCTGTGGAGTATACAGTCTGCTGGAGTGTGTAGTCCTGTGACTCCACACAGTATACAGTATACAGTATACAGAGTATACGGTCCCTTGGAGTGTACAGTCTTGTGGAGTGTACTTTCCTTTCGAGTGTATAGTCCTGTGGAATATATAATCTGGTGGTGTACATTCTGCTGGAGTCTACAGTCCTCTGTAGTGTAAGTCCTCTGCAGTGTACAGTCCCCTGCAGTGTACAGTCCATTGGAGTATACCATCCTCTGGAATGTACAGCCCCATATAGTATACAGTCTCCTGGAGTATACTGTCCCATGGTATGTACAGCCCCGCTGTCTGTGTAGTTCCGTGGAGTATACAGTTCCATGGAGTGTTCAGTCTGTGGAGTACAGTCTGCTGGAGTGTACAGTCTCGTGGAGTGTACAGTCCCCTGGGGTATACAGTCCCATGGAATATACAATCCGTGGAGTGTACAGAGCCATGGAGTGTACAGTCCCGTGGTGTGCGCTGTCCCGTGGAGTGTACTGTCTCATGGAGTGTGATCCTGTGGAATACAAGTCCCATGGAGTGTATAGTCAATGTGCAGTACTGTTGACTGTTCATTCTATGGAGTTTACAGTCTGCTGATGTACTGTCCTGTGGATTGTACTGTCCCCTGAAGTGCATAGTCCACTGGAGTGTACAGTCCCCTGGAGTGTACAGTCTCATGGTGTGTACAGTACCGTGGAGTGTATAGTCTGTGGAATGTACAGTCATGTGGTTTGTACAGTCCCCTGGAGTGTGCACTCCCATGGAGTGTACATTCCTGTGAGTGTACTGTCCCCTAGTGTGTACAGTCCTATGGATTTTGGACTCCCAAGGAGTGTACACTCCCCAAGTGTACAGTCCTGAGGTGTGTACAGTGCTGTTATGTATACAGTCCCGTGGAGTGTACACTCCTGTGGTGTGTAACATCCTGTGGCGGAGTGTTTAGTCTCGTGGAGTATTCAGTCCCGTAGATTGTACAGTCCTGTGGAATATACAGTCCCTTGGAGTGTACTGTCTTGTGAACTGTACAGTTCCCTGAAGTGTTCAGTCCCCTGAAATGTACAGTCCCCTGGAGTGTACAGTCCATGTAGTGTGTAGTCTCATGGAATATACACACCTGTGGAGTGTACAGTTCCATGGAGTTTAGGGTCCCTTACAGTGTACAGTTCGTGGACTGTACAGTTCCCGTGGAAAATACACACCCATGGAGTTTATAGCCCTGTGGAGTGTAGAGGTTCATGGTGTGTATAGTCTCGTGGAATGTACAGTCCCATGGAGTGCCAGTTCCGTGGAGTAGAAAGTCCCATGGAATAGAAAGTCCCATGGAATAGAAAGTCCCATGGAATATACACACCTGTGGAATATACAGTCCCGTGGAGTGGAGAGTCCCCGGAATATACGCATTCGTGTAGTGTACGGTCTCTTGGAGTGTATAGTCCCGTGGAGTGTACAGTCCTTTGGAGTGTACAGTCCCCGCAGTATAAAGTCCCATGGAGTATACAGTTCCCTGGAGTGTACAGTCCCGTGGAGTGTATAGTCCCATGGAATATACAATCCTGTGGAGTTTACAGTCCCAAGGAGTGTACAGTCTCCTAGAGTGTACAGTCCCCACAGTATAAAGTCCTGTGGAGTATACAGTCCCCTGGAGTGTACAGTTCTGTGGCGTGTACAGTCCCATGGTGTGTATAGTTCTGTGGAGTATATTGTCCCATGGAGTGTTCAGTCCCGTGGAGTGTATAGTCCTGTGGAGTGTACAGTCCCGTGGTGTAGATAGTCCCATGGAGGGTATAGTTCTTTGTAGTGTTCAGTCTGTGGAGTATACAGTCCACTGGAGTGTACTGTTTTGTGAACTGTACAGTCCCCTAGAGTGTACAGTTCCACGGAATACATAGTCGCGTGGAGTATATAGTCCCATGCAGTATATAGTCCCGTTGAGTGTACAGTTTCATGAAGTTACAGTCTGCTGGAGTGTACAGTCTTATGGAGTATATAGTCTCGTGGAGTATACAGTCTCCTGGAGTGTACAATCCCGTGGTGTGTACATGGAGTGTATAGTCCCATGGTGTATATAGTTCCATGGAATGTACAGTACCATGAACTGTTCATACTGTGGAGTTTACAGTCCGCTGGTGTACTGTCCTGTGGATTGTACTGTCCCCTGGAGTGTATAGCGTGCTGGAGTGTACAGTCTCATGGTGTGTACAGTACCGTGGAGTGTATAGTCTGTGGAATGTACAGTCATGTGGTATGTACAGTCCCCTGGAGTGTGCATTCCCATGGAATGTACATTCCTGTGAGTGTACGGTCCCCTAGAGTGTACAGTGCCATGGATTTTGGAGTCCCGTGGAGTGTACACTCCCCAAGTGTACAGCCCTGAGGTGTCTACAGTGCCATTATGTATATAGTCCCGTGGAATGTACACTCCCGTGGTGTGTACAGTCCCGTGGAGTGTACAGTTCCTCGGAGTGTTCAGTCCTCTGGATTATATGTTCCCCTGAAATGTACAGTTCCGTGGAGTATACCCTTCCCTGTAGTGTACAGTCCCTGTAGTGTACAGTCCCTAGTGTGTATGTTCCCTGGACTGTACAGTCCCCTGTGTGTGCAGTCCCTTGGGGTATACAGTACCCTGGCGTTACAGTTCTGTGTAGTGTACAGTCCCAGGAGTGTACAGTCTTGTGGAGTTTACAGTCCCGTGGAGTGTACAGTCCCCTGGAGTGTACAGTCCCCTGGATTGTACTGTCTCATAGTGTGTACAGTCCCATGGAGTAGACAGTCCCCTGGAGTGTGCAGTTTTGTGGAGTGTACAGACCCATGGATTGTTGAGTCCCATGGAGTGTACAGTCCCCTGGAGTGTACATTCCCGAGGTGTGTACAGACTCGTTGAGTATACAACCACATGGAGTGTACAGTCCCGTGGAGAATATGGTCCCCTGGAGTGTACAGTCTAGTGGAATATACAACCCCATGGAGGGCACAGTCCCTGAAGAGTACAGTTCCGTGGAGTGTACAGAGCCGTGGAATGTACTGTCCCCTTGCACGTACTGTCCTGTAGTTACTGCACTGTTATGGAATACTACAGCCCTATGGAATACTACAGTTCCGTTGAAGGCTGCAGCCCTGTGGAGTATCGTGGGTCCATAGGATGCGATAGTCTACAGAATCCTGTATCCTGTGGCGAACTGTGGTTGTGCGCTGCTAGCCCGTCTGCGATCGAATTCTCCGGAGTTGATGGAGATGCTCTTGCTCTGGTGCTCCTCTTCTGCGTCGCAGGACCCCGGACACATTCTTTTCTTCTTTCCTTGGGTGTGGGAGAAAATCCATTCACTGTCATGGCAAGGCAAATATTTCTCTCGCCTCATTTAAATTTGATAGAAATGGTTGTTTTTTGCAGTGCCTTTTTTTTAAAGGGGTCACACCTGGTGATGTTCAGGGCTCACCCCTGGCTCTGTGCTCTCGGCTTACTCCTGGCTCTGTGCTCAGGGTTTACTCCTGGCCCAGTGCTTACAGCTCACTCCTGGCTCTGTGCTCAGGGCTTACTCCTGGCGGTGCCCAGGGGTCTGCTGGGGGTCAGCTGCGTGTGAGACATGCACCTTAACCCCTGTACATCTCTCTGGCCCCGGGAGACGCCGCGTGTGACACCCATGGTGAGGAGCAGAGATTTCCATTCAAGCCGCACGCTCGGGAGTTTGCGCATCTGCGTTGGGAGCAGGGTTTCAGGCCTGCCTGCCTCTCCCTCACAAGGTACTGGTAGAAACTACAAAATGGTTTTCGCTTTTGCTTCCTGCTGTGCTTTTATTCTGCCTTGATCGCATCTGTCTCTCGCGGACTCCCGTGGGCCGTCATTACACCAGGAGTGATTTTCAGAAAAATGGATTCTGTTGAGGGCTGGAAGGTCTTGTCACACTTCAGTAGTTGTCTCTGGCTTTTAGACTATTGACAGAGCATGAAAATGAAGAAATAATCTCACCAGGAACAGTGCTGTCGGTTAATAAAGAAATGTCGGGTGTTTTCCAGCCGCGCTGGGCCGTTTTATCTCTGAGTCGGTGTTTGGGCTGTTGGCATCAGATTTGCCCGGTGACACTTGGTTTCCCCAGACTTGAAGTGGCGGCTCTGAGCTGAGTCAGAGTTGACAGGTTGAAAGGAGAAGGGACCGAGCGCCATAATCAAGTGCCCAGGGGGAGGGGCATACTGCAACGGGAGGGTGTGTGTCCTACACTCAGCCGACCTGAGTTCAACCCTCGGCACCACAGATGGTTCCCCAGTCACCACTAGGCGTGACCCCAAAACAGAAATAAATACGCGCCCCAGACGATTATGAGTTACCCCCAGCTTGGAGTGGACTCACTATATGCGAGGTGGTTTTTTGGCTTTGTGGGGAGTTTTGGTAAAAGCCTGCTCTTCAGGCTGACCTTGACTTTGGGGATAGATGAAAGCTCGCACCGGACCCTCTGTATGCACCACCACCAGCCCGGGCCCGCGGGCGCTGGGACTCGGTCCTAGGGAGGCGACCCGGGATCGTCCTTACTGGCCAGGAGGAGAAGCTGCTGGAAGGGCTTCGTTAGGCGTACAAGTGCCACACGGTCCTGAGGGGTCTGCGGTGGGCACGGGAACGGGAGCCTGACGAGGCTGCCCCCGCCCCCGTGTCTTCCTTAATACGGGCAGGTTTCTGCGGCTTCTTCACAGGGGTCTTTTCAAGAGGCTGCCACAGAAATGCCTCGCATGGCCGTCCCCTGCCTGGGCACTTCGTTCTCATTGGGGGTTTCATTCAGGTGAAGCCGAAGTCCCCCAGGCCTGTGTCCCCTGCGGTGTGGGCGGATGGTTTAGAATGTTTTTTTCTATAGACGCTATGGATAATGGGTGTTAAGGTTCTTCGAACCAAAGCTTAACCCTCTAGAGCACTTGTTTCTTAATCATTAGAGACAACTGGGCTTTTTTTTTTTTTTTTTTTTGCTTTTTGGGTCACACCTGGTGATGCACAGGGGTAACTCCTGGCTCTGCACTCAGCAATTACTCCTGGTTGTGCTTAGGGGACCACATGGGATCGAACTGGGAATCGAACCCGGGCCTGCTGCGTCCAAGGCAAATGCCCTACCTGCTGAACTATCATTCCAGCCCCCTGAGCTTTTTTCTTGGCAGGGTGGGGTGGGGTTGAGCCGTGCCGGGCCATGCTCAGGGGTCCCTCCTGCCTCTGCACTCAGGGGTCCCTCCTGCCGGTGCTGGGGACAGCACGTGGGGTCCCGGGGGTTGGACCCAGATTGTGTGCAAGGCAAACACCCTCCCCCTGCCCCGACCCCCCGGCCCTCTGAGCCAGCTGCTTTTCTAGAGAAGCGGCAGAGTGAGGGCGGGGAGGGGGAGCCCGGCTAAGGGGGAGAGAGTCCCGCAGCCCTGCGCGTCTGGCGCTTCTCCTGGGCTTTACCTGAGCCCCAGTGGGCCTGGTTGGGTCTGTTCGACCCTGAGCCCCGCCTGCCACCCCAGACTGTCTCCTGACCCCTCTCAGGGTGCGCCGACCCTGCAGGCGCGTCACCTCCAATGCCGTCACCTTGATTTGCTGCTGCCTCTCCTCGGCCCGTTCTGTCTTCACGCTCCTCCTGTGCTCCGTCACCCCAGGCCCGAGCCAGGAGATAAGCACTTGGTGATTTATATCAGGCCTCAGTGGTCTCTCTGTTTCCTTCTAGTTCTGCTAACAAAAGGAAGCCGCTGCCCAAGACTGTCTACAACCTGCTCTCCGACCGCGAGCTGCGGAGGAAGCTGAAGCAGCACGGGCTGTCTGTCCACGGCACTAAGCAGCAGCTCATTAAACGGCACCAGGAATTCGTGCACATGTACAATGCCCAGTGTGACTCCCTGCACCCCAAGTCAGGTAAAGGCATCCCGCAGCCCACCCGCCTGCTCTTCCCGGGGAAGGGCTGGGCCGTGACTACAGCATTGATAGGAGATGAGTTGTGCCCCGTGCTTCTCCCGGAGGGCATAGCTGTGCCCAGTGAGCCCCCCCTCCCCGCGGCCGGAGACAGGACGGACAGGGTGTTCCCAGCTGCGCAGTTCTGACGGGATGAATCGGGCGGATCACATACAGTTTGTGTATCTCGGTCCTCATCCCTGAAGTGAGGGGTTTGTTTGTTAGGATTTTTGTTGTTGTTGAACGAGGTTTCCTGAGATGTGAGGGTTGGGGAGGAAGACAGGGTTTCATGCTCAAGAGGAAACCCGAACCAGAAAGAACAAGCAGGCAACAAGACAGGTGCTCGGGGAGAACGCAGTCTCCTTCTCCTGGAAGTTAGGGGCTCTGTTCTACCCTGCTTAGCTGCGTTTACGTATTTGTTTGTGGCCACACCCGGCGGTACTCAGGGCTTACTCTTGGTTCTGCACTCAGGAATTACTCCTGGCGGTGCTCAGTGCTCAGTCAGGGCTTACTCCTGGCACTGCACTCAGGCTTACTCCTGGCTCTGCACTCAGGAATTACTCCCGGTGGTTCTCGGGGGCCATATGGGATGCTGGGGATTGAACCGAGGCTGGCCGAGTGCAAAGCAAACACCCTCCTCACCGTGCTCTCTCCAGGCCCGTACCTTTAGTGCTCAAAGTACTGGTTTTAAGTCCTACCTGTCTTAGTGTGTAAGAGAGGAATAAATGGCGAGTTGATCTAAATGTTTAGTGTAATATCTTAGCAAGTAGTAGTAGCATTAACAAATGTCACTCTGATGATTGAACACAAATACGCATCCCTGGTCCGTCCATGTCTTTTGAAAATGTCACTGTCCTATGCACACGACTGACGGGTCGGCCCCTTGAGGGGCTCGAGGCCCCGGAAGCTTCCACTCTTCCTCCCCCCACCCCAGCCTCACAACTGGGCGCTGCCTTCAGCACTGGCTCTGGCATCTGTTTTCTGTGATCTTCACATAAATGCAGGCCCATCGCTGTGTGTTTTGATCTTGGCTTTGTTTATGTATAAGATTCATCTGTTTGTGTGTGTGTGCACAACTGTGATTTTTTTCCTTTTTGTTGCTCTGGTGTTTGCTGTTGTGTAGACATTTTACTCTGACCATTTGGTGCTGATGGACAGTTGTATCTTTCCACTCTTTGGCTGTCATGAATAACGATGCGGTGAACAATCTCTTGTGTGTCTCCTGGTGCCCGTAGGCGCACAGATTTCGGGAGACACATACCTAGGCATGGACTTGGACATGACAGCTGGCGCTTTCATGGAGAGGCCCAGACCCCGGCCCCGGAGCCGCACGCCTGGGGGGCTGTGGCCACCCCTGTCTCTGCGTCCCCCACAGTGCCAGTGCCGTCATGTCCAGTCTGGCCACCTAAAGGGCCACACGAGTGTCTCATTCCAGCTTTAATTTGCATTTCCCCGATGACTTATAATATTCAGCATATTTTTATGTGCTTAGTGTCCATCTGGATAGCCTCTTTGTTGAGACACTCATTAATTCTTTTGGCTAATTTTTCTCTGCTGTGGATCTGTTCGTACGAGCTTGCCCAGATTCAAAGCCTCTGTCTGTTTCCTCTCCTTCACTTCACCTGGTCGCGTCCTTTGCGTGCCTGCGTCCTGTGCTGCACGGCCGTGGTTCTGGTCTTTGGGAGGCCTCTTATATCCTGTGGCTGTCATCGATCAGGAGGATTCTTTTGTTTTCTCTGCAAGTCCTATTGATTTTGCCTTGAACCCATGATTGACTTGAGAGTTGTCTGGAAATGATTCTGGCGTTGTAGTGTGAGACATACATGCTACTTCCTCTGGGCGTGGCCGGTCTATGTAGGCCCGTGTGTTGAAAAGCCGTCCTTGCCTCCCGGAACTGTGTTGGTCCTGGGCAGGAACCTCCTGGCCACCCAGGTGCGGGTCTGACTCTGTCTCATTCCCCAGCTGTCCCCGTCCGCACAGTGCCCGTCGTGCCCATCCCGTGATTTATGACAGTCGCCCTGTCCGGTCTGTTCAGCTCCTAGACCGAGATTGCCTTGTTTTTCTTGGCCCTTTGCATTTCTGTATAAATTGCAGGATAAGCCTGTAAATTTCCATCAGGAAACAAAAACCTGCTTGAATTTTTATTGGGATTATTAGATCAGTTTGGGGAGGTTGATATCTGTACAGTATTTGAATCTTTCAGTCTATTAATTTGGTTTATTTCTTTAGTTGTTTTTCCATTCCTATCCATCGTATTTTGTAGCTGGTTTTTATTTAAAGACTTAGTCATAGGTGTGTGATGTTCTCCATAGTTCTATGGGATTCCAACTTAAAATGTCAATATTAATTTGTTGCTGGTATAGAAAAGTACAACTGAATTTTATCTATTGTCCTTGTATCCTGCAGTTCACCTGCAGGATCTGCAGGATGATTAAGGTTTAATTTACTGCGATGGGATTCATTTCCTGAAAGGTCGGGTTAGTTTGGGTGGGTGTGGGGTCCTCTGACCGTGTGGGAGGTGCGGGGCCCTACTGACTAACCATGTGGGGGAGTGCGGGGTTCTTCTGACTGACCGTGTCGGGGGAGGGGTCCTTTGGGCCCAGAGCGTTTATACAGCGGGGAGGGCATTTGCCTTGCATGAGGCCAACCCGGGTTTAATTCCCCACATACTGTAGGGTCCCCCAAGCACTGCCAGGAGTAACCCCTGAGCATCACTGGGTGTGACCCAGAATCAAAGTAGAGTTTGTTGCGTGAAGTTTTTGTTTGCAGTTTTGCTGGTGTTACGGATCTGGAGGGCAGCAGCTCTGTGCTAGGAGCGTCGGCTCCTCTTGGAAAGGCCCCGAGGGCGCGTGGTCCCCCCAGTGCCGGGGCAGACCGGAAGCCTTCCTGCTGCCCCATGGGGTCCACGCAGCCCGGAGTCAGGGCCGCCTGCATCCACTGCTGTGGCCCGTGGCCCGGGTCCTGTCTGTCCCCTCCCCTGTGGGGTCTGTGGTGTCGGGGTCCAGACCCACTGGGAGGTGGCTGCCGCGGCGCCCACCTCACCCCCGTCCTCGCCCCGTGTCTCGTGGCGCCTCCACGCCGCGATGTTCAATGCAGCCAAGTGGCCCTTCCTGAGGGCCCCGATGGCGACGCTTGGTGCTCGCCATTCAGGAGCCATCTGAGAAGGGTTTCCCGCCATCTGTCCCGCACGGGACTCACGCCCGCGAGCCTGGCGCCTGTGTGTGCGGTGTCCCTGTTCCTTCCTGTCTTTCTCTTCACTGTCGTGTGAGATTTGGGGGCTTTAAAGGATACGCGAGCCCGGGGAGGAGGCGGGGGGAGTCGCCTGGGCGGGAGGCGCAGTGGGCAGAGCACGGGGCTAACGCCCGCTCCTGTTTCCACAGCTGCGGAGATCGTTCAAGAGATCGAGAATATGGAGAGGACTCGGATGCGCCTGGAAGCCAGCAGACTCAGCGAGAGCGTACGTGCTGTGCTCCCTCAGACCAGGCGGGAGGACGCGTCCGTGCCCCTAGAACAGCCCCCCCGCCCCCCCGCATCCGTCCAGGCTCTTCCCGGGAACACCCCTCCATCTCCATGCTCGGGTGGCGTGATCTATGCGCAGCGATCGGCAGCCCAGGATCTCTACCCATGCTCCGAGGTGCAGGCAGCCTGGGCACGCGTGTGCGTGTGCGTGTGCGTGTGTTGGCCGACTCCGGCCTCTCTTCCTCTCTGGCCCTCTCCTCCCTCTCTCCCTCTCTCCCTTGCTCTGTCCCCACCTCCCTCTTCTCAGTCTCTCTCTCTCTCTCTCTCTCTCTCTCTCTCTCTCTCTCTCTCCCCCCCCCCCCACCCTGCTCTTTATCCTCTGGCCTTTGCTGCTTCCTCAGTAAACTTGGGCTCCATCTGATGCCGATCGCTGAGCTCCGTGCTCGCTGTAATTCTCTGCCCCGATCATGGAGTTGCTTCGTGCCTGGTGGCTGGGGAGGAACAATTTCCTACTGAGCCTGTTAGAAGGATCAGAGACCTCAAGCTCCTCACTGCGGCCTCCCGCCTGGGGTGCCCAGCCTGAGGGCAGGAGCCCAGCAAGACTCTCACGCAGACGGGCGCGGGGGCTCTCTGGGGTTTTGTCTCTTGACCGTCTTGGTGACACGTTTGTAAGGAGACGCAACTTTAGGGACGGAAGCTACGACTCAGTAAAACATGGAGCTTCTCTCCATTGGCTTCATGCAGTGACCCGTGGTGCCTGCAGTACAGGGAAAGTGTCCTGTGTCACTGGGGGTGGGATTCCGGACAGTGACTGGACAGGACCACGCTCCGGCCCTTCGCCCTGGGGGCTGAGGCGGCCTCAGCCCTTGTCCGGCAAACAGCCCCGACGGGCAGCGTCTGCGCTGACCTGGGCTCTCATGGACACGAAAACTCAGTGTTGAAACGGGAAGTTGGACTGATCGTGGTGTGAAGACGTTACGTGTTCTAATGAGTCAACATTTTCTAGATGAAGAAGAGGAATGAATAAAGTTGATCAGGAACGATGCTGATCAAGGAGGTGCAGCCGTGTTGTTCTTTCTGGTCTAGATGAGCGAGACAAGAGAGTCTTTTCCTTTTAAATATCCACGTTTGAAAGTTAAAAGCTTGGAGGAATAACTTAAGCTTTTCTCTATCATTTTAGATAATGGTTTTCACAAAGCACCAAACGGAAAAGGAAATAGATGAGATCCACAGCAAGTACCGTAAGTCACGCCGCGTTTTCTTCTTTTGTTGACTCCGGCTGCAGTTTTTTTTATCTTAGGAAATTTGGGTTTTGTTTTGTCTCGGGGCCACACCTGGCGATGCTCAGGGCTTACTCCTGGGTCTGCACTCAGGACTTGCTCCTGGCGGTGCTTGTGGGGCCATATGGGATGACGGGGATCGAACCTGGCTTGGCCAGATGCCAGGGCTCAGGGACCAAATGTGACGTGAGGAATCAAACCCAGCTTGGCCGTGTGAAAAGCAAGCACCGTGATCTGTGTAATCTCCCTGGCCTCAGGATCAGCCTTCTAAAAAAGAAAAAAAGAAAAAAAAATATATATATATATATTTGTTTTAATTTCTAAGCCTTTTCAGTCTCTTCCTGGCCCTTCCTTGGCGTCACCATCCGTGATGATTTCTGCCTCTCGCTCCAGAGCGACAGTTGAGCCCACTCCTTTCACACGCTTCTGTCAGTGCTCCCGGCCGCGGCCTTCCCCTGCGCTGGCCCCTTTCACACCCCTCTCTCCCTCCCCCCCTTTCTCTCTCCCTCGCTCTCCTCTCTCCTCTCCTCCCCCACTTCGTCCTCCCTCCCTCCGTCCCTTCTTTCCTTCCTTCCTGTTTCTGTGTTGGTGAAGCAAGGTAGTTTTGACTGACCCTTATTCAGGAGGATGTGCGGGAGAGAACAGGAGTGTGATGGCGAGAACAGCTTCCAGAGCGGAAACGAGCAGAGACGAGAGCCAGGCGGGCGCGCTGCGGCCAGAGGGGCGCACCTGGGCTCTCACGGGGCACAGCTGTCGCCTCCTCGCCGCTGCGACCCTCACCCTTCGCTGTCCCTGTTCTGGACACGAAGGGGAGAAGATTGCCACCCCGGCAGGCTGCCTGGAGCTGGGTGCCCGGGGTCCCTGCCAGCAGGGAGCCCTGAGCACCAGGTGTGCCCCCCAAACAGACAGACAGAAGGATCACAGGGACCAAAGGCAGACGGACACCAGGTGGCAGCAGACCCACCTGTGCCTGGCTTCGTAGATGCCGGCAGAGTGGCGGGTGGGACCTGCACGGGCTCCCGGCCGTGCTTTGTGTGGCCCCTTCCTCCAGGCTGCCCTCCAGGCTGCCCTCCCCTCCCAGCCCCAGTCTGGAGTAGAAGATGGCGCTTGAGCTGCTTCTGAGAGTCACATCCTCTCCGCGGCGCCTTCCCTGCCCACCTGTGCCTGGTGTGTGTTGATGACCCTCCTCATGTTCATTTGTTTTTGTTATAAGGAGACCCCAGCCCCAAAAGAAGAATTTAGAGATTAGAGGGGGAGGTTTTCCTTTTTTCTTTTCTTGTCTTCTCCCTCCCTCCTTCCTTCTCTTCCATTCTCTCTCTCTCTCTCTTTTTTTTTTTTTTTTTTTTTGGTATTTGGGGCGCTCCTTGAGGTGCTCAGGGCTTACTCCTGGCTCTGTGCTCAGGGATGCTCCTGATGCCTCTTGGGGAACCATATGGGGTCCCGGGCACCAACCCCAGGCTACCAACTACCAGCACGTGCTCTCTCCGCCCAGAAGTCACTTCTCTTCACCTGTGGTGGTGGTTTCTTTCGGGCCTGAGCTGTCTGTGCCACGGCTCTCGTCTGCTGCGGCCCGTGGCCTGTCTGGGCGTGCGCCGAGGGTCGCTCCCCTGACTGTGCCAGGGTCTGACCCGGGGGTGCTGCCCACTGGCCTTTGGCCTCTGAGCTCTCCCCCTCTGGCCGGCACACTCTGCTTTTCCTCTAGTTAATCATTCTCTTTCTGTTTGCTTGGTTTTCTCTTTATCTAGTACTAATGTGTCTCTCAACTTCGCGCCAGAAATAGAAGCCTCTCTCCGACCCAGACCCGCCTGAGTCAGCGCATCCCTCCTCCGTGGCCCCGGGTGCCCGCGGCTGCCCCTCTCTGCGCTGGCGCCGCCTTTGCCTGCCTCAGAATCTTGGCCCTCCTCCCAGCTTACTGGAAGGATGGTCGGGAAGGAAGCTCCCTGAGAAAGGGCGTGTGGGAGACCCCTGGACGCGTCCATCCCGGGAACGTGCCTGTCCTGGCCACCCTTCAGCTTGGCCAGCGGAGGCCCTGCACCCCTGCGGGAAGGTTCCTCCCACCCTGCCCTGGCTGTGACTGTCCCAGCTCCCCGGGCCTCTGTCCTTCCCTCCTCGTGGGTTTTCTTTCTGGTCCTGCCATGTCTGGCTCACGGCAGCGGCTGGCAGGTTCTGTCCTCAGAGTAGCTCTGACCCCTTAAGCTTGCCCCCGCGTGTGACGCTCCCTCCTTCCTGGCATCTAGAACCGATGCGTCTCACTGGCCTTCCTGCCTCCAGGGCCCTGGCTCTGCACGTCAGAGCCAGCGTCTCTTGCCACTTTTCTAGAACCTTCTCCCCATGTGCTCTTCTTCCTCCCTTGTCAGACTCCACCGCTGCTGGTTGCTGTCTCTCCCCATGGCTCCACGTGGCCGAGGGAGATCCCTGCGGTTCCCGCTGTCCCAGCCTTTTACTCAGCCTGCGCGTCCTGAGTCCTCACTGGTGCTCTCCTGTGTGCCCGACATTGGCCAGGGGCTGGAAGTGCGGGAATGACGGCCCCAGCGTGCAGCTCTGTGAGGTGGTGTCCTAGAAAGCGGACATGAAAGAGGGGACGTGGTTTGTTTCCGATGGGGCAGCCACAGGGCTCGGTGACGTGTTTCTGTCCAACTCAGTGCTGAGGCGTTTCTACCCGACTAGGACATCGCTGAGGCATTTGCTGGTTGGCTGGGGCTGTAACAGAGTCCACAGACGGGGAGGCCGGACCAGCAGAAATGTGGCCTTTCAGGTGGCCCTGGGCTGCCTCAGCCTCTGCACAAGTCGCCCTCTCTCTCTGGACCTTTCCTCCCCCCAGGACAGCCTGCCCCAGGGCCTCACTCCAGACGTGGCCTCAGCCTTCACCTTCAGCGTTTCCGTCATGTTCTCTGCTTCCCCTGGCCGGGGCCTGGGCCGCCGCGAGCCTGGCGGGGCGTTTGTCTCCTCTCCCTCCTCTGCTCACTCCCTGATCCCGACAGACGCCCCTTCCCGCCTTCCCTCGCTCCCACAGGAGAGGCGTCAGGAGCCTCTTCAGCCGCCCGCCGGCGCAGGCTGTGGTGTTCTCGGCTGCCCAGCCTCACGGACGCTTCCTCTATGCTGCTGCCCGTTTCTCATTTCCTGAGCAGTCTTTTGAAGAGCCCCGATTTCCCCAAAGGGAAGGAACAGGAGACGGGGCCGTTGGAAGCTGAGTCGCGATGTGGGAGAGGTTGTTCTTTGGTCAGGAGGCTGCGGCAGATGCAGGGGAGCTGAGGAGGGCGGCCCGTTTCCTTAGTGTGAGACGCTGGCACGGAAGGTTCTCTCCCTGCTGGCCGAGACAGAGAACGGGGATTGTCCAGGCGCCGCCCTGGCAGGTGGTCGTTCTGCTCCCCGCCGTGGTGGAGTGACAGGGATTTCCCGGCCATCCTGCTTGTCTCCTCAGGTGGCGCTCTCTTGGGTTCCGTTTTTCCCTCCCTGCGTTCACCTGGCCACCCTCGATCCAGCGTCTTCGTGTGCGAGAAGCAGCGGACACAAGACATGTCGCTTTCTCTTGGCGCTTAGGCTCTTGTCGCAGACAGAGGAATAACCATAAATCAGCAGGTTATAATAGCGCGATTTGGGGTAGCGAATGCCATAATAAGAATAAAAGTAATTTGGAAAAATTATAGATGCCTTAGATAAGGTCGCCAGCAGAAGACTTCTTGAGAAAGTTGACATCTTAGATGAGTCATAGGTAAAATCCAACAAAAATAGATGGGACGAGGCATGGCCCAGACGGGGCCTTGCAGGAGAGGGAGGCCGGGGCCGGACGAGCAGGGGGGAGCCGCTGACCCAGCGTGGCAGGACTCAGGGTCAGCACCAGCTTCATCTGTACCTTAGAAGGTCACAGAGCCTCACTGGATAGTGGCTAACAGCAGGAGGATGGCCCATGTGTCCTCCACTCTCCATGCAGAAAGGACTGACCCCTCTCTACTGCCTCTCAGGCCTACTTCCAGGCTTTGGGAAGGGGGAGCACCAAGAACTCCTGGATGGGGGCCAGAGAGATAGTTCACTGGATAGGGTGCTTGCCTTGCAGCACTATTGGATGTGGTCCAGAGACAGAAAGAAAGAAAAGAAGGAAGTGGGGAAAGCAGGAAGGGGGGTGCTGCAGCCACATCTGGGGTGCTCAGGGTGTTTCCTGACTGCTCGGAGGTTACTCCCGGCTGTGCTCTGAGGCTATATGGGATGCCGGGGGTGTAACCTGGGTTGTCTGCATGCAAAGAAAGCGCCTTACCCACTGTGCTATCTCTCCGGCCCTTCTTAATGTTCAGGATCTTTTTTCTTTTTGGGTTTTGAGCCACGTGGTGCTCAGGGGTTACTCCTGACTCCGCATTCAGGAATCACGCCTGGCGGGCTTTAGGGACCTTATGGGGTCCCAGGGGTTGAGCCCAGGTTGGCCACGTGTGAGCCAAGCGCCCCTCTGCTGTTTCTCCTGCCCGTGTCCAGACTCTTGATTCTCTCGTTGACTTCTGCATTTGAGCTATTACCAGCTTGAGTTCATATGTAGGAAAAGTAGCTAGCCTCGTCTAGGTACCAAAAGTGGGGAGTGCTTTTTAATAGGCATTTCAGATGAGCTTTCATATTCTCCCATACAGCATTAAAACTTGAGCAGGGTTATTTCAGGAGAGTTAGTTACATTGGCGTTGGAAATCATGTTAGTTAAGTTTTTGAACTTGGCAGCATTAAAACCCACTCACTCTTTGCCCCGTGCCGTGAAAGGCTCTTTTACCTGTGAATGCCTCTGTAGTGTCACTTGCTATTCATCTGCAAAATACATACGTGTGTGTGTGTGTGTGTGTGTTTGAATTTTATTGAGTCACCGTGAGATAGTTATAAGCTTTCATGTTTGGGTTACAATCACACAATGATCAAACACCCATACCCCCACCAGTGCACATTCCCCACCACCAATAACCCCGGTATACCCCCCTTTCCCACCCTCTCTCTGCCTCCATGGCAGACATGATTGCCCATAATCTCTCTCTACTTTTGGGCATATGGTTTGCAATACAGACCCCCAGAGGTTATCGTGTTTGGTCCTTTATCTACTTTCTGCACACATCTCCTATCCCAACCGATTCCCACAGCCATCTTTTTCTTAGTGATCCCTTCTCCATTCCCGCTGCCTTCTCCCCTTGGCTCATGAGGCAGGCTTCCAGCTAGGGAGCAATCTTCCTGTCCCGTGATTCTACTGTCCTTAGGTGTCAGCCTCATGTTATGTTGTTTCATACTCCACAAATAAGTGCAGTCTTTCGATGTCTGTCCCTCTCTTTCTGACTCTGCAAATTGCATTTGTGTATCTCACTTGTGTAATGTAAAAATAGCGACTACCTCTTTAATTTCGCCTCTGATCTCATCAGAGAAACCAAGCATGGGGCAGTGGTCGGGCTCTCCGGGGGACGGGGATGGTCCCCAGAGGGCTGCCCCCAGTGCTTTCTCCTGCTCCTGTGGCGCCCTTGTCAGCTCTGGGGGAGACTGTCCCGTGGGCCGCGCCCAGCCCAGCTCTCTGCTCACTGGGGCTGCGTGGGCAGGGCTCGAGGGTCGGAGCTTAACAGGCTTTTGTTTGGCTGCTTCATCGAGGACCCTTTCCGTGGAGCTCAGTTCTTTCTGCCCAGCAGTGCTCAGTCCTGGCCCTGCACTCCAGGGGGTGCTCAAGGGACCTCACAGGACACCGTCCCCCCTCACCCTCAAGCTGACACTGCCACTGGACCTCAATTTTCACTGTAATTGGCTCCTGCAGTTCCGCTGTGTTCCTGAAGGAGGTGTGTGAGCCCGCGGCAGCGCCTGGGGCCCTTGGTCAATGCTGCTTGGAATCCAGGGGCCTGTGGCTGAGGGCTGGGAGGGGCGCGGGAGCCTGGGTGTAGCTGCTGGGGGCGGGGAAGGTGCTCGTGTCCGATGTGACTGAGGGGCCCAGTGGGAGCAGTTGGGAAGACCAGAGGACGCACGGCTTTGCACCGCGGGCCAGCAGTCTCAGTGATGTGGTGGCGTCGGGGAGCCGAGAGCCTTGGCGGGGGCCGCTCAGTCAGGCCATCCACGGTCACGGGAACCAGGACATGGCAGGACAGGTCAGGGACGTTTCATCTGTAGCTCCGTGACTCTTGTTCAGATCTGTCCGTGACCAGTGACGCTGATGCTGAGAAGTTCTAATCTGGACCACAGTGTCGGATATTATCTTGTTGATTATCTTGTTAAAGGAGCTGGTTTGAAACGACAGTTTCAAATGATGCTCAAAACCTCCTTTCCGACTCAGGTCCCCTCATTAGAAAAGAGGGTTTTCCACCAATTCTCCAAATTTTCTGGAGTGAGTTTGCCAGAGAGTAATCAGAATGAGTGAAGGGGGAAAATTGAGCTGAGTTCCAGAGGGTCCCGGGTCGTGCTTTACTGACAGGCTCGCCGCCTCCGCTCTTCCCACTTTCCCTCCTCGGGTGTTTCTTGCTCTCCCACACCGGCCCTGGCACCACTGACCTTGCACGGCCACCCCCCCCCCCAGGGTCCCGATGTCGGGATGGCAGAGCCGTGACCGCTTCCCCTGCTGTGCCCGGGCAGTGGCCGGAGCCTCACCGCCCCTGCCTGGTCCCAAGCGCCGTCGCAGGTCCCCTGCCTCATGTCCAACTGCCTCCAGCAGGACCCCTGCATTGGCTCCTCTGGCCACGTTTAACGCCTGCCCCATCTCCGCAGCTTTGCTCTGGCCCGGGCGCCAGGCGCGACACGTTCCCGGCGTACAGGCTGGGGTGCGGATGGGGAGCCGTCGGGGTCCCAGGATCTGGCGTGGTGTGGGGTCTCTGAGGCCGTCCTGGTGGGATCCAAAGTGGGGGGGGGGGGCTGCTCCTCCAGTCAGAGGGGCCCGCGGAGCAGGGGCTCCCGCATCATGCATTTGCTCCCTCGCGGCTCGGCCCTGCAGACCTCAGAGGGGGACTCGGGCCGCGGACCTGACAGAACCAAGTCTCAGGCGCCTCCCACATGCCGCGACAGGAGCGGTTCCATTCGCCGCTGCATTGAGGAGACAAGATCGTGCCAGGACAGTCAGAGCCGGAAGGTTCGGTTTGACTTTCGCGCTTGTTAGTTTTTTATCTTTGCCTCCGAAGTGAAAGTCACCGTGCGGCTTTTACTGCCAAAGGATGACTTTTGCAAGTGTGTCCCGTAAACATTTATTTTGAAGACTCGACCTGCGGTGTTTGGGGGCTGCTCTGAGCTGGGTGCTCAGGGGTCACGCCTCGCTGGGGCTCGACCCAGGCTCTGCATGCAAAGGCTGTGCCCCCCTCGGCGGCACCTCCCGGCCCTGTGTCTGCCCTGTGGGCCCCCCACCGCCCACTCAGCACGTGGAGCCGGCGCCTGGATTGGGGGCATTGAGACCCAGAGCCAGTCCCCACAGACATGGGGAACCCGCTAGGATGTGGAGAGGCCCCCGGATGCCACCAAGTGCTGGATGTCGGCCAGAGTTCGGAAACAGCCCCCGTGAACACGAGCAGAAGGAGGCCGTGAATCAGCCACAGCCAGAAGGGAAGGCGGAGGGTGCGGCTGACCATGCGGGGGGACGTCACCCGGGACCGAGACAGCCGCAGAGCCACGAGCCCCGCAGACGGGAGAGAGGAGCAGAGTAGGGGGGCTGCAGAGGGGGAGAGCACGGCGGGGAGGCGTGATGGAGTTAGGTTTGAGCCCCGCCCCGCCATAGGGTCCCCCGAGCACCACCAGGAGTGATTCCTAAGTGCATTGCTGGGCGTGGCCCCCTAAAAGATGCAAAGCAGGGAAAGGACACATGGCCGTAACTGCAGCACTTAAGTGCTCATCTATGGAACGTGGCTGTGAGGTGTGGGGGGCCGGCGGGAGGGGTGCTGGGCCAGCACGCGTGTAGGTCTCCGCCAGGTATTGGAGCACGGGAGTCATGGTGACAAAAATGAGATTTTTTTTATGGGAAAAAGAAAGATCTTGCCTCAGTTTTTACAGTGATCTTTATGACCAGCTAATATTTCTTTTTCTAAAATGTTAAACAGTCTCGTAAAATTTACCACACTGTGTGCTTCGGTAAACGGGGCCCTGGATTTGAGGCCGATCCACCACGCCACCAAGAGAGAAAAAAGATTTTACAGACACCCACAGCCAGGCCAGCGTGTTGGTTTCTCGTGGAGGTTTTCATCTCGCTCTGCACGTGCATGCCTGCCTGGGGTGGAGAGCCCGCTCGCCCAGTCAGCCCAACAGCCCCTGCAGATGCAGACCGGGAACATTGAAACGGATGTGCAGTCAGAGGCAAGTGGAGTGTACCTCGGTCGGGGCTTGGCATGTTCACCGGCGGGAGTGCATCTCCATGGTCCTCAGCTCCCCTCTGGGGCGGCCCCACGCGCAGGCAGAGTGGCCGGGACCCTGGAAGGCCCCCTAAGAACGCCGACCTTCGTGGAAGCAGCTTGTCCCCTCCCAACTGCCCCAAGTGTTCATTCGCCAAGAAACTGCTTTCTCTGTGCAGAATCATCAGCCTTCTGCCACGTGCTGGTGGCTTCTAGCTTGCATTTTGACCGCAACCACCCCCGGCAGTGTCATTAGAAGGAATTGCGCGTGCATCCCGGAACAGAACTCAGCCCCTCGCCTCCCAGCGTGCGCTCTGCCTCCCCCTCTGCACCCTCGTCCCACTGCTAACGGACTCGAGAATTAGCGGCGTGTTTAAGGTTCGCGGTGAGCCCGTGTAACCCTGGCTGCCTGGCCAGGTTCCATCGTACGATGTTCCAAGCCCTGTGCCGACCGTTGGGCCCATGGCAGGAGTCAGTGACCCAGAAGCCAGGCCTCGGGGCTTGCTGGGATTCAGGTGTTGTTCTTAGCTCCCCAAACAGGAAGGTTTGGTGGATGGGGGGAATCTTAGAAGTGAGTAGAGTTCACAGGGGACACAGGCAGCATCCAGAGTCTGCAAGTGGACAGCCTCGGTGGCCCGGCCTTCCCCCCGGCTCCGCTCTGCATGCTCTGGAGACCAACACAGAAAGAAGAGGAAGAAGCAACGATGGCGGGATGCGGGGAAAGGGAGCCTCGGCCACTGCCAGGGGAGCCTGGAGACGGCCGACTGCCCGGCCACTCCGGAAACAGCGTGGACACTTCTCAGAAGAACGAAGCTTCTGTATGGCCAGCAGCTCCACTTCTCGGTGTCTGCTAAGGGCCCAGAGCTACTAGCTTGAAAAGATCTTTGTGGTCTGCCGCATGGCAGCACTGTTTAGTTACTGAAATCCGGGGGGCAACCGAGGGAGGGTCCGAGATCAGATGGCTTGAACTAGAGAAACTCTGTCTCTCTGTCTCTGTCTCTGTTTCTCTCTCTCTCTCTCTCTCACGCACACACACACACGCACGCACACACACACACACTACTCAGCTGTAAGAAAAAATGAAATCATGCGATTTGCCATTCATGGATGAACCAGGAGATGCTCAGGCCAAGTTAGATCGGTCGGAAGGGGGTGGGCAGATGCAGAGTGACCGCTCTCAGCTGTGGGATGTGAAGAAACATAGTAAGGGAGTCTGCTGGCCAAAGGCAGAAGTGTTTACAGAACCGAGCGCACCCAGGGGCGGATGGGGGCGAGCAGGCATTCTTGTCTGTGGGCTTCAAGCGTGCATGCGTGAAACCTCATCGTTACCAGTATTGGAAATCACGGTGTAGCCAGTAAAAATGTTTAAAACCCAGAAATTTGGGTGGGGGGGGGGGAAGGAGTATCTTGTTTCTCTTTTGTGACAAGACTTTGGACATCTCCTTTGGATGTTTATAGCAAGTGGTATCGGAAACCTTTGTCGTATCCAGGGGAGAATCAGGGGCTCCCCAGGAATAGCGTTTGGCGGCGTGGGGGTCTCAGCAGGAGCTTCTGGAGGGCCCGCACCGCTGACCTGGGTCCCGCTCTGTCCCTGATGTCCATCTGCCTTTCCTAGCCCCGACTTCACACAGCTTTCTTGAATTTCAGGTAAAAAGCATCATAATGAATTTCAGCTGCTGGTGGATCAGGCCAAAAAAGGCTACAAGAAAGCCGGGGAGGTGGCCCCCAAAAAGGTGGCAAAGAAAGAAGAGGCGTGTGCAGAGAGGCCATCGCCCATGTGCCCAGGTGAGAGGGGCAGAAGCATGTTGGGTTTTTTAAAGACTATTTTAGCGCAGAGAAAATAAGGTGCCAAGAGCAGCCCAGTGAGCGTCCTGGAGCCCGGGTGTGGCGTGCACGAGGCCGAGAGTCCCCGCACCCCTGGGTCCGGCCGAGCGCTCAGTGTGAGGTCCACGTTACCAGGCTGCCCCTAGCCTCCCCTCCCCCAGAATACAGCTGGAGAATAAACTGAGGGGATTTTCTGTAGACTCACTATGTATTTGCAATGAGAAAGAGCTGTTTAATTTTTTTGTTTTTGTTTTTTTCTTTTTGGGTCACACCCGGTGATGCTTAGGGGTTCCTCCGGGCTCTGCACTCAGGAATCACTCCTGGTGGTGCTTAGAGACCCTACGGGATGCCGGGAATCGAACTTGGGTCAGCCGCGTGCAAGGCAAACACCCTACCCGCTGTGCTATCGCTCCAGCCCAAGTTGTTTCATTTTGTTTTGTTAATATCCATTGGTTCTTAAATGTAAATTAAGTCTATGAACCTGAGAAAGGTAACCAGGCCATCGTCCCAAGGATGTGTCTGAAATCAGCCGTTCTTTCCACGAAGCCAGGTGTCTCTTAATTGCGTAAGCCGGAGGATGTTTTCTAAGTGCAGGATGTATTGCTGCAGAACCTCAGTTAACCCACAAAGGGAATCGATCTCTTTTATACACTGATATATATTGCTTGCATGAAATATGGTTGAGGGCCCCTAAATCTGGTGTACTTCATATGCTAATAGCTAGTTGTTGGTTTTGACCCATATTAAACCGTGAGTGAGGGGCGTGGGGATGGTACAGGGGGTAGGGCACGTGCACGCGGCCAGCCTGGTTTCAATCCCAAGTGGTCCCTGAGCCCCTCCAGGAGTGACCCTGAGCATCAGTGGGTTTAGCCTAAAACCAAACCTCAGAAAGCACAAAAATGTGAATGATCATCTTTTGCTGGGCTGCAGCAATAGCACAGTGGGTAAGGCCCGCAGCCGACCCGGCCAACCTAGGTTCGATTCCTCCGCCCCTCTTGGAGAGCCCGGCAAGCTACCGAGAGTATCACGCGCGCACGGCATGCCTGGCAAGCTGCCTGTGACGTATTCGATATGCCAGACACAGTAACAACAAGTCTCACAATGGAGACGTTACTGGGCCTGCTTGAGTAAATCGGTAAACAACGGGAGGACGGTGACAGTAACAGTGATTTTTTTTGTTGTTGCCAGGGCTTTGGACCAGTAAACAGAATCATAACAGAATCATAAAGTGCAGAAGAAAATAGCACTTTTCTCTTTACTGTGGCAGAGTGCCACATGAGACTTTCCATCTTTCGGATCATAAGCGGAGCCCCTGGGCATTAGCTCTGCCCCTGATGTCCCGTGTCTTGGCTCTGAGCAGGACCCCCTCATCGGCTTCCCGAGGTTGCGCGCCAGTCCTTGGCTCTCCTCGCTGTGTCCCCCCCACCTGGATATCATCTGAGTGGCAGCTCCTCCCCAGAGCCCTTGGCCACGCCTGGCGGTGCTCGCCCAGGGTCTCCTGGCAGCACTCGGCCCCCCTCTGAGCCCCGTACTTTCTGGCCCGTTTCTCTAGTGTTTGGATAACGACCCTCACGGCGCCACTGGCTCTGCCGTGCTTTGGGGTGTGCGTAGCTGGGGGGTGACCCCCAGCCCCTCCCCAGCGGCTTTGCAGAGGCCCTGCCCCGGGCCGAGGGGGCCAGGTCCTGTGGGGTCCAGGCCGCGCTCACCTGACTCAGCCGCTGAGTGACTTGGGGTTTGCTCCAGCTCTGAGGCGTCTTTTTAGATGGCTCACGGCTGCTTCGGCTGCTTAATCTTAGGGGTTTGGTATACATTCTGTCTGATGACCCTAGTTTCATACATCACTTGATCACTTGATACCCCTTTACTCATCGATTTACTCAAGCGGGTGCCAGTAGCGTCTCCATTCATCCCTGTTTCATACATAACATTTAGAAATATTTGTAAACATTTTCTAGGTTGTCTTTACTTTCCTGATAGAACCTTTGACAGGTGAAAGTACAGATTTTAGTGGTTTAAATTTTTTTTAAAGTTTGAATTGAATCACCATGAGATAAACAGTTACAAAGTTATTCATGACTGGGTTCCAGTCATACAAAGTTCCAACAACTGTCCCTTAGCCAGTGTAAATCCTGCCAAGAGTGTCCCCAGTTTTTCTCTTGCCAATCCCCTCCCCTGCAGGCTGCCTCTAGGGCTGACACTTCTCTCTCTCTCCCCCTCTCTCTCCTTCTCCCACTCTCTCCTCCCTCTCTCTCCCTCTCAGTCTCTCTCCTTTCTGTCTCTGTCTCTGTCTCTTTCTCTTTGGGCATTATGGTTTGCAATATAGGTACTGAAAGGTTGTCATGTATGTCCCTTTACCTCCTTTCAGCACTCAGTTCTTGTCCAGAGTGATTGCTCCTTTCCAAATGTCATTGTCACAGTGGTCCCATCTCTGTTCTAACTGCCTTTGTGGCAAGCTTCCTACTGGGGACCAGTCCTCCTGGCCCTTATTTGAAGTTTGATATTTCATTGCTTTCTTTTGTTCCCTGTGCTCTTAATATAATATTTATGTCATTCTTGCCAAATGAACATCATGCAGACAATTTTCTCTGTGTTTCTAACCAAGATATATATATATATATATATATATATATATATATATATACGTATATATATCAAAACATTTTATTGTAGTTTAGGTAACATGGTAACAGTATTCTTAGTTTTTTTTTTTTATTTGTTGAATCACTGTGAGAACAGTAACAAAGCCTTTCAGTTCAAGTCTCGGTTGGTCATACAATGATCAAACACCCGTCCCTTCACCAGTGCACATTTCCCACCACAAAGAACCCTAGTATACCCCCCCTCCCACCCACCTCCCACCTGTGTGGCAGATTTCCACTTTACACTCTCTCTCTCTCTCTCTCTCTCTCTCTCTCTCTCTCTCTCTACGTTGATCACATTCAATATTACGACAAAAGACCCACCACTGTTATTTGGAATTTTCCCCAACATTCAGACCTGCTACAAAGACTGGAGCGATAGCACAGAGGGTAGGGCGTCTGCCTTGCACACAGCCAACATGGCCGACCCGAGTTCGATTCCTCCGCCCCTCTCGGAGAGCCTGGCAAGCTACCGAGAGTATTCGATATGCCAGACACAGTAACAACAAAGTCTCCAATGGAGACGTTACTGGGCCCGCTCGAGCAAATTGATGATCAACGGGAGGGCTACAAAGACATCATTAGAAAATTTGTTTTCTTGTATTGATTATGAAGAGCATTTGATGTCGTGTGGCCACAATAGCAGCCATGCGAATTTGTATTTCTGATATTTTAGTAATAAACCTAGAGGGATTACTGCCAAAAGCCCCTGGGTTCCGAGATTAGTATGTGTGCCTCTGGGTTCATGGTCGGTCAGAAGCCGGAGGAGGCATTTGAGGGTGGCAACCCGGAGCATTGTCATGGCGAAGAGCAGGGCCGATTCCATCCCCCTCCCATGAAGCCCCACGTGCCTCGTCAATGCAGTCACATACCTGGCTGTTCATTAGGCTCTATAAGATGCAGGCCACCATGTTGCCGCCACCGAGGGGGACAGGCGGAGGGACAGACACCCTTCCCCTCCCAGGGTGGCGTAGCACCATAGTTAAATACACAGTCCAGTTGTATTTCGGTTGGGCATTACCTTTTGCTCAGATTTTCCCACCACCATTCAAGCCTGATTTTCAGGGAGAAATGCTGGATGATTTACTTTCCATTGATCACTTTGCATACAAGGAAATGTCGCGGGGCCACGTAAGCGGCTGCGCGGTTCGGAAAAAATGTCCTGGTACCCGCATGCCAGAGCCATGCTTGTAGAAGCTCATGGTCACTGGGATTCCATCTGGAGAAGGCAGGACGGCAGCACCTACTCCATCTGGGACCTCCCGGTGATATCGGCTCTGGTTGGGGCCCGGAGCATTCTCCGGGAGCTGTGGGGCCCTCCAGCTGGTTTTCTTCTTTGTTGCTGTGTGCTGTAAGATGGTGCTGGGGGGCGAGTTGTGGGTGTGACTTCCGGAATCAGAGGCAAGAGATTTCTTGTTTTAGCTATTACATCAAAGTCTTTTATCTGGTCAAAGTTAATTTTTGTAAATGGCAAAAGATAAAGGTCCAATATGGGGGGGGGGTGTTTGTTTTTTGCATGTAGATGGTCCACACCCAGCTCTGCTTAGAGCTTACTCCTGGCTCAGTGCTCAGAGCACCATATCTGGTGCCATATCAGGTCAGCCTCTTGAAAGGCAAACACATTACCTGCTGAACTATCACTCTAGCCTAGTTTTAACACCTGGACAATATTCTCTTCCATTCCATGAACATCAAATGTCTTTTATTTATTCGTGTCTTCTTTAATTTCAGCAGTGTTTTGTAGTTTTCTCTGTTTAAATCTTTGCCTTGCTGGGACGAGAGTAACAGTACAGTAGGTAGGGTATTTGCCTGGCATGCTGATCCTCAGTACCCCATGTGGTCCCCCTAGCACCACCAGGAGTGATTTCTGAGTGCAGAGCCAGGGGTAACCCCTGAGCATTGCTGGGTGTGGCCCCAAATCAAACAAAAACACAAATCTTTTACCGTCTTGGTTCGATCTGTTCCTAACCAAGGAAGATCTAACCAAGTTAGATCTGTTCCTGACCAGCTGTTTTAGGTATTGTATTACTGATTTTCGTCCCATGTTCTCCTGGTGTCATTTGTAGGTTGCTATAGTATAGATTTCCTGGCGTGGGTGGACAGAATAATTGTGTTCATGCAGTTCTTTAAGTGTATTCTTAGAATGTAATTTAGCTCCCAAGAAAATGTAGCTTAATATCTCCCATGAAAAGGACATCTTTGGTTATTCGTTGAATCTATCTTGAAGAAGGATTCCTGATCCTTGGGGTTAAACGTGTGTGTGTGTGTGTGTGTGTGTGTGTGTGTGTGTGTGTGTGTGTGTTGTTTGGGGGCCTCACTTGGCAGTGCTCAGGGCTGACTTCTAGCTCTGTGCTTGGGGCTCATTCTTGGCAGGACTTGGGGACCATATGAGATACTGGGGATCAAGTCTGGGCTGGCCGTACGCGAGGCCAGCGCCCTGCCCGCTGTCCTACTTTCTGGCCCGCGGCCAGCGTGGCTCTGCTTTTGAGCAGGACTTTGCTGTGGAGGAGTGAATGCCTGAGCTGCCCACTGTCTACCCTCCCGGCTGGGCCCTGGGGGCCGGTCCTAGCTCTGGGAAACGGGGCATTCCAGGCTCTGCAGCCGGGCCGAGGGGGGTTCTCAGTACTCCCGGAGGGTGAGCATTGTGGGCGCGGAAGTTAGAGACAGCTGGAGAGCGGGTGCAGAATGGCGCGGTGTCCGGGTGGGACAGGCCCTGCTGGACACTGCCTGGCCGGCGGCCTTCATGACATCATTGCCAGGACTGGTGGTCTCGGCCTGACCCCTGCTGCGGGAGGAGCACCCGCGGAGCCGGTCCTCATCATCGTCAGCGGCTGCCCCCTTTCCAGGTCACTTTCCAATTGGTAATGGCCAGCAGCCAGTGACCCTTTGGAGCAGGGTCAGCCCTTGAGGGGCAGGGGGCTGCAGACCACCAGCCAAGCCGCAGATTATTTCCTGGAGATTCTTCTCATGTGACAGATGCTGTTCTCCAGTGTAGCCAAGCGGATTATTTCTGGGAAATTCTCAACTCTGCAGATTGGATTTTTTTTTTTCTTAAGATCTGTTCTAGTCTCATTTCATCATTTTTCCTCTTACTGCCAAGACCTGGACCGTTCTCGGCAGCGTCCTTTACTCGCTGTCCCCAGCCCCTTCACCAGCTCTGCCTGTCCACGCCCTGCCACGGCTGGAATGAGAGCAAGCCCCGCAGAGCCCTTGAGGACGCTGGCGGTCAGGCTCGAGGGCCCCGGGGCTGTGTCGCTCCGGCATTGGGGGCTTCGTCCGAATTGAGAGCCCCCAGGGATGCCAGGGACCCTGCCGCAGGGGACCTGATTACTTCCTCTCTGCACGATGGAGAGCCGGTGCCAGCTGAGAGGGTTAGAACAAGCCCGCGCTGGGCCTCCCGCATGGATGGCAGGCAGGTGGCGGGGCTCTGCTGACCGGAACTTTAATCCCTTTTCCTTACATACCCCGTGTCTTGTCAGTGTGCTCAGGCTGGGAAATGTTTAGGAGTCCCTCTGCACCCAGTCCAGTACAGTTTGGGACCCTGGAGAAGCTGGGGCATCTACCGAGTGGCATCTGCTCGAGGTTCCAGTCTCTGGTGCTTCCCCAGGGCCTGCCATGGCAGGACAGCAACCTCGGGTAGCCAGAATGGCTGGGCTGACGTGGACGCCACTGCTGGCGAGTTGTGGCTCTGAGACAGACAGTTCAGGCAGCAAAAGAAAGCCTGGCCCGGGGAGACAGTGGGGTTGGGGTGCTAGGATTGTATGGAGCAGAATTTTTTTAAAGTACAATATTTTCCTCATTCCTGGTTTTCAAGGAATCTGTCTCTAAATGACTTAGTCTAGAATTGCCAGGGCCAGAGTTACAGCCAGACTCGCCATTACCTGTGAGTTCCAAACGGTGTCCCATGAGCACCTGTTTCAGAATAGAATGCGGGCGTGGAGAGCTGGGGAAGTGGACTGAGAGAGGGCGTCGATTTTTCTTCTGAACAGGGACCCCTCGAGCGGCGGGGGACTGTGGGCCACCAGGTTAGCCCCACACGGCTGTCAGATGTCAGGTGCGCTCAGCGGAAGCCCCTCATTTCTTTCTGCCTTTCCAGGACCCGAAGAGAAGATGCGGGCGTCCGTGGGGCCCTTGGTCGCCAGCCGCCTCCCGCGGGCACAGCGGGCATCCTCGGGGAGCTCGGAGCCGGAGAGGGCCGACGACGACTCTGCCAGCTGCTCGGACCCCCGGGAAGCGTCGCCCTCTTCCCCGGAGTCAGATTCCTGCAATAGGTGAGACGCGGCTGGGGAGATGGCGCTTCTTTCCCCCTTCCTGTGCGGGCGAGAGAGGCGGGAGGGGAAGCCTAAGCTCCAGCACCCCCATCTCGCTATGTAAAACACAGACCCCCGCCCGCCTCCCTGGAAGAAACCCCTGCTTCCTCCTGCCCCGCCGCCCCTCCCCCACACCTGTGTCTCTGTGGATCGGCCTGCTGGGAATCTGCATCTGTGGGGCCTGTGCTAAGGGCCGAGTGAGGGTCGTCGTCCCTGCCCTGCGCTTCCCACGGCCCCCCAGTGCGTTGTGTTCCCGCCCTGTCTGTCTCTGTCCTGCTGAGACTCCTGCCACGCGTGGGTCGGCATTTCCTTTACTCGCTGGTAATGGTTGGCGGCTGTTTGGATTGTTTCTAATTGAATTTGGGCAAGGAAAGATATCAGTGAGTTGGCACAGACCTTACAAGCGTCGCTTCACAGATGTTGTGTGCGATTCGCTCAGCTCGCTGTGGAAGGCGATGGCGTTTGCCACTCGTCTAACCGCTGAAGGAGAAGTCTCATGTGAGCTGGGAGTGTAACTGGTGGTAGAGCAGCTGCCTTGCTTTTTTTTTTTTTTAACGCTGTAGCATTGTAGCACTGTCCACCCATTGTCCATAGATCTGCAGTAATGTCTCTATTGTGAGACTTGTTGTTACTGTGTTTGGGGTATTGACTACTTCACGGGTAGCTTGCCAGGCTTTGCTCTGCGGGCGAGATACTCTGGGTAGCTTGCTAGGCTCTCCGAGAGGGGCGGAGGAATTGAACCCGGGTTGGCCGCATGCAAGGCAGACGCCCTACCCGAGCAAAGTGACTTTAATTGATATATTCCTTTTTTAAAAAAAAAATTATTGAATCACTGTGAGATACAGTTACAAAGCTTTCATGTTTGAGATTCAGTCATACAATGAACGAACACCCATTCCTCTACCAGTGCACATTTTCCACCACCGATGTCCCCAGTATTCTTCCCCGGCCCACCCCATCCCAGCCCTCCCCCTGCCTCTATGGCAGACAGTTTCCCCAATGCTCTCTCTCTCTCTACTTTTGGGCTTTATGTTTTGCCCGAATTTTCCCACCATCATTCAAGCCTGCCTGCCAGGAGCAGACGCCAGATCATTTATTTTCCGTTGCTTATTTTGAATATCATGAGAGTTCACAGCCGCACGCTTCTGGGATCCTAGATTGTAGATGGTTGGGTTCCAGAGACACATCTAGGGCTCTAATCCGTTTTGGGATTCAGTTGGGAATCTCTGGACCAGGGCTGTTGATGCGCCAAGATGGCACATGTGGAGGTGACAGCCAGGTCTCGGAGCGGGCGGGGAGCCAGGGAGGGACAGCCCGGTGCCTCTGCCACCATGCAGCATGGAGATTTAGTCCTGGAACCCGCATCCCTGGGCCTTGCTTGTGGAAGCTCTTGGTCGCTGGGATTCCGTCTGGAGTAGGCGGGGAGACTGCACCTGCTCCATCTGGGGTGCCCCGGTGAAAGTGGCCCGGTATGGGGCCCGGAGAGATCTCCGGCGCTGTGGTGCCGTCCGGGACTGGTTGCAGAGCAGCTTCCTTGCATGTCAGGCCCTGGGTTAGACCCCCAGTACGGACAGGAAGATGCACACACCTTGTAAAAACTCAAGATTTTTCAAAGATCTTGTCTGTTCCTTTGAAATAAAGAATCGGAAACTCAAGCTCAAGAGTGGGTGGGACGAAGCAACTCAAGTCGTGGAGTTCTGGCTGGCCCAGGTCAGGCCTTGGGGCTCAGGAAGAGCCCACTGGGGGGAAAGGGTCAGCAGGAAGCAGGAAGAGCTGGCTGGGGAGAAAGTGTCAGCAGGAAGAGCCGACTATGGGGAGGAAGTGCCAGCGGGAAGAGCCCACTGGGGGGAAAGTGTCAGCAGGAAGCAGGAAAGGCCGCAGGAAGCAGGAAGAGCTGGCTGGGGAGAAAGTGTCAGCAGGAAGAACTGACTATGGGGAGGAAGTGTCGCAGGAAGCAGGAAGAGCCGGCTGGGCAGGAAGTGTTAATAGGAACCGGAAGCAGCTGGGGGTTCTGCTTGGGGTCTGCAGTGGTGGGCTTGCACTGGTTTTTGGAAATCTATTCCTTTATCTCTGAGAAGCTTAGAAAACTCTCTGGGATCTGACGGGACGGTGCAGGGAAGCACAGCCGTGGGTCTTCAGTAGTACATGGCTGTCATTCTCCTTTTGTAAAGGGCCATCACAGTGTAATTTTCTTTTTAGTAATGTTGGAAAATTTGGCTCTCTCAATAAACATTTTCCAAAGTGCTTTTCTTCCTTCTGATTTTTTTTTTATGTAGGAGTACTGCTATTTATTCAGTCACTGATTAGCTGATTGAATTGGGCATGAACTCCGCCTTACTTTTTTTTTTTTTCATTTTTTATAATTTTATTTATTGAATCACCATGAGAGCAGTTACAAAGCTTTCGGGTCTAAGTCTCGGTCATACAGTGAAACACCCGTACCTTCACCAGTGCCCATTCTCCACCCCCAGCAACCCCAGTATACCCCCATCCCACACCCTTCCCCTACCTGTGGGGCAGATGATTTCCACATTACTCTCTCTCTACTTTGATCACATTCAGTATTTTGACACTAGACCCACCATTATTATTTGAGATTTTACCCCAACACTCAGATCTGCTGAAAAGGCAACAGGAGACAGTTTGTTTTCTATTGCTGGTTATGGATAACATATGTTGTCACGTGGCTGCAGTAGTGGCCGGGTGATTTTGAAATTTCGAGATTTTAACACTTAAATCTGGAGGGATTTCTGCCAAAACCTGCTGTGTTTCGAGATTTGTTCCTGAGTCTCTGGGATCATGGCCGTTAAGCAGCTTGATCAGGAGCCAGAGAGGCCATTCATGGGCAGCGACTCAGGGTCTCACTGGGACGGGGAAGAAAGGGCCAGCTCTACCCCCATCTCGTGAGGCCCCACATGTCTTGTCACTGCGGGCCCAAACCTGACTGACTGTCCAATGGCCTCTGGAGGATGGTGGCCACCGAGCCGCCTAGGGAAAACAGGCAGAGGGACAACACCCTTTCCCCCCTGGGGTCGCCCGGCGACAGTAACCTACTGCGGGGTCCAGACGCATTTCTGCCAAAAGCCACTAGGTTCCAAGATTTGTTTGAGTCTCTTGGATCATGGCCGTTAAGCAGATTGATCAGGAACCAGAGAGGCCGTTCATGTGTGGCGACCCAAATCTGACTGTCCAATGGCCTCTGGAGGATGGCGGCCACTGAGCCACCAAGGGGGAGCAGGCAGAGGGACAATACTCTTTCCCCTCTGGGGTGGCCTGGCCACAGTAACCTACTGTCTGGATGCATTTCTACCAAAAGCCACTGGGTTTCGAGATTTGTTTCTGAGTCTTTGGGATCATGGCTGTTAAACAGCTTGATCAGGAGCCATAGAGGTCGTTTGTGGGCGGCGATGTGGGGTCTCGTTGGGGTGAGGAGGAAAGGGCCGGCTCCACCCCCATCCCTTGAGGCTCTACGTGTCTCAACACTGCGGGCCCAGACTGTGCAGTGGCCTCTGGAGGATGGTGGCCACCGGGCCATCAGGGAAACCAGGCCAAGTCATGAAACCTATTCCCACCTGGGTTGGTCCAGCGCTGGTAACCCACTGCAGGGACTGGACGCATTTCTGCCAAAAGCCGCTGGGTTTCGAGATTTGTTTCTGAGTCTCTAGGATCATGGCCGTTAAGCAGCTTGATCAGGAGCCAGAAAGGCTGTTCATGGGCGGCGACTCATGGTCTCGTTGGGACAGGGATGATGTGGGCCCAAACCTGACTGTTCAGTGGCCTCTGGCGGATGATAGTCACCGAGCTTCCAAGGGGGAGCAGGAGGAGGGACAGCACCCTTTCCCTCCTGGGGTGGTCAGGTGACAGTAACCAACTGTGGGGTCCAGACGCATTTCTGCCAAAAGCTGCTGGGTTTCGAGATTCGTTTCTGAGTCTCTGGGACCTTGGCTGTTAAGCAGTTCGATCAGGAACCAGAGAGGCCATGCCTCCAATTATATAGCTGAGCCGGAGGTGGTTTGTGGGTGTGTCTTCCACATACCTAACTTTTGGCCGTTTGCTTTCTTGGTAAACTTGGCTTCAAGTTGTTGGGGTCTGGCCAAAGGCACAGCAGCAATTTTGGGGTATCTGGATGTCTGAAGGTGCCATCAGGCTGCTGATGCACTCGCCTCGCAGATGCAGATTGACCTGCTGGCAGCACCAGACCCCCATCTTCCTTCTGATTCTTGAGGCTTATCACAGAGCACATTGCTCATATTTTGGTCCTGAACTTTACTACAGAAAGTTGAGCCTGGCCCGACACATTCCATGAAAAGTTCCTTGAGTTGGGCCTCAGCTGGGCATGCCCCTGGCAGCCAAGCCTTGGAGCTGCTCACGTGGTCAAAGGAGTCCAGCTTCTCTGCCCTTCTCCCTGCAGACGTTGCGTTGACGGGTGCAGGAAGATGTCCATTGTCCGTTCTGTGTAAGAGCTCTATTCAGGCTTGCCTGGTATAGCTGGCTGACAACGAGCGGTCTTACTTTAAGATCCAAGTCCTTGCATTTAATCTAGATATTAAGTTGAGTGTATTGCTTGCTCAGGTCTAAAGCACGTACTTCTTAGAACATGAATTGTTAGTAATGCTATGCTGATGGTCCCTTGCTAGCCCGAAGACAGATGCTATGTTGATAAGAATTTTAGATTTTTGCACAGTTTCTTGCTAACGATTTCCCGGAGTTCAAGAGACTTGTCCAAATTTCTGTAAATTAATTTATTGTTCTTCTTGAGAGAGAGCTCTGTTTCCCAAGTCCTGGCAAGCCGAGAAAAATGCACTTTAATTGCGAGCTATGTTACAAGATGCTTTTGCTTCTGACCCTAAAGAAACTCTGTGTGTGGGGGGGGGGTTAGTTGGCATTGAGCTTTATTGTTGAAAAACTTTCGATTCTTTAGCATTTTAATATTTAGACCTTAGTTCTTTGAACAGTAGTGT